TCACGGGTTCTGAAAAACAAGCACCTAGATCTGGTTTTTGTATTAATGGGAGATTCAAGTATTTGCTTGATTTTCAAGACTATTGAGCAAGCAAGACATCCCATTAACTTCAGCTACAACTATTTATTTTAAAATATTAAGATATGGAGCTATTAAGTAGATACACTCAATGTGGAACTGCAATTCCTGTGTTCAGATTCTTTTCCTCATTAATCACCCTTCCTATAGCTTGTGGAGGTTTCTTTGGAGGGGAAGATGTTTTTTGGTTTTTTTTTCCAGATGTTCACCATAGTGGAAAAGTGGAGGAAAATATTCAGATCTAGAATTGTTCATCTTTCATAGATAAACCATATAGCACTGAGCTGACTATTTGGAAATAAGAAATTAAATAGTAAAAAGTAAGAGAAATTATGTTCCATATGGAATTTGCACCCAAAATATTTTTCAAAGTAGATTTGGACTGACCTTAAACTCAACATGTTTGAACCTGTAGCTTCTTGTATTATTTACAATTTTATTTTAGGTTACCTGGAGCAAGGTCTTCTGGTGAAAGAAGAACATAAGCTACGAGAGAAATACAAGAAATCTTTTCAATTCAAACTAGATTTTCTGTCAATCTTACCAACTGATCTCTTATACTTTAAGTTAGGATTGAATTACCCAGAATTAAGAATAAACAGACTACTCAGAGTAGCTCGGATGTTTGAATTCTTCCAGAGAACAGAAACAAGAACAAATTACCCAAATATCTTCAGGATCTCTAACCTTGTCATGTACATTGTGATTATTATTCACTGGAATGCCTGTGTGTACTACTCCATCTCAAAAGCCATTGGATTTGGGGCTGACACGTGGGTCTACCCCAACACCTCAGATCCTGAATTTGCCCGCCTGACGAGAAAATATGTCTACAGTCTCTACTGGTCAACACTGACCCTGACTACAATTGGTGAAACCCCCCCTCCTGTAAGAGATTCTGAGTATTTCTTTGTGGTTGTTGACTTCTTGGTTGGAGTACTGATCTTTGCTACCATCGTTGGTAATGTGGGCTCAATGATCTCCAACATGAATGCTGCCAGGGCGGAGTTCCAAGCAAGGATTGATGCTATCAAGCAGTATATGCACTTTCGGAATGTGAGTAAGGACATGGAAAAAAGAGTTATAAAGTGGTTTGACTACCTGTGGACAAACAAAAAGGCTGTGGATGAAAGGGAGGTCTTGAAGTACCTGCCAGATAAACTAAGAGCAGAGATTGCAATCAATGTTCACCTGGAAACGTTAAAAAAAGTTCGGATTTTTGCGGACTGTGAAGCAGGTTTGCTGGTTGAACTGGTTTTGAAACTCCAGCCCCAAGTATACAGTCCTGGAGATTATATTTGCAGAAAAGGAGACATTGGACGAGAGATGTACATTATCAAAGAAGGCAAGCTGGCAGTAGTTGCTGATGATGGAGTCACCCAATTTGTGGTCCTAAGTGATGGCAGCTACTTCGGAGAAATCAGCATTCTTAACATCAAGGGTAGCAAAGCTGGCAATCGAAGAACAGCCAATATTAAAAGTATTGGATACTCAGACTTGTTTTGTCTGTCTAAAGATGATCTCATGGAGGCTTTAACAGAGTATCCGGATGCAAAGGCTATGCTGGAAGAAAAAGGCAAGCAAATCCTAATGAAAGATGGGTTGCTGGACATTGAAATTGCAAATTTAGGAAGTGATCCTAAAGATCTGGAGGAGAAGGTCGCCTACATGGAACGTGCTATGGACAGGTTGCAAACAAAGTTTGCCAGGTTGTTGGCTGAGTATGAAGGTGCACAACAGAAAGTGAAAAAAAGACTTACACAAATAGAGAAAATATTGAAGCCAGTTATAGAGGAAGAATTTGCAGCCTTAGAAGAAGCAGATCCATCCACAGATAAACCTGGATTGTCAAAAGCAGAATAAAAACAATGGAAGTTGCCAATAAGACTGAGGGTCAAATCGTGACTGGGGCTGAACACTGATTTCTAATCTTTGTAATACCTGACTATTAATTACAAAAAATTTTTTGTTGAGACAATGTCACTAATCTCCTACAAGTAGTGCATATTTGGCAGTTTTGGGGCAGAAAAAGAAAAATCAAGAATGAGAATGGAAGATAAAGCTTTGCTCTTGCACAAATAAGTGTTATTATCTGCTAATGTGTTTTGTACTCTCTGTAACGCTGCCCTATGACAGATGCACATGCACTGTCACATACTGGAAAATATTGGAAGCTTTGCTGGTTGTTTTAAAATAATTTCTTTGTGTCTGCTTATGGAAAGAATGAAAGGTTTGGTAACAATTTGAAGTCATTAACCTTTATATTACATTTGTGTATAAATGAGCACATTTTAATATCTATTGAGCAACATGAAATTAATTAAGTATGCAATATTATATAAAAAATTAGGCATATCTATTAATATTGTCCACTCTCATCTACAATGTAGATGTGACCACTGAAGACTGTAAGATTTAGAAAATATTGTTACTTCATTGGGTCCACCTTGGCTGATTTCTTGAAATATAAGTGGGCAGATTGAAATATACCTTTTTCCAGGATAGTACAAGCAAAGGCTGGAATACAGAGAGGAGAAAATTCAATTTTAGGCAAGCATCAATATGAAAGATATGGATGGCTCATAATCTAGTGTTCTTTTCACAATAAGAACAAATAATATACAAAAAATATACAAATAAAAATATACATTAAAGATTGTTCTGTTCTATGTAATCATGTGGCTGCAGAACATGGACTATCAAGTTTTGAAGATTTGTAATTAAAAATGTTTATATCCCTACTGTAACACTGGCAGAGTCCAAGGGGAAGACACAACAGCAACAGGCCAAATTCTTCCTCCAGGGTCTTCTGTAGATGCTGTTGGTGGAAGAATATGACTAAAGAGGCTGCTTTTTCCCACTGATAGAGAATTTCTGTTTTTCATAACTACTTCTGAGATAGTAAAGTCTGTAGATTCATACGTTAGATCAATTTTCAACTGCTTTAAAATGCATTATCTCCTTAGATCCTTTTTTCTTTTTCTGTTTGCAAAAAAATAGTTTCCTTAGTTACAGTCTCAGCTGAGTGTTCGCAGCTGGGTGTATTCAGTAGAATTTGATCATAGGCACATAACATTGTTAAAGTTTGATGAAAGGGAGTGAAGCAAGGGACTGTAGAGAGAATGGATAATTCTCTGTTTAGGGAAGTTTGATTTCTCTGAGCAACTGGACTGCCACTCTTAAAAAATACATATGTACATGTTACTGTCAATAATCTCTCTACACTTGCATTCTCTGCTTATTGAGATGGAGATAATATAAATTGGGTATTTTATAAAGTGCATTCCTTTCTGGCTGTTTTATATTTTGTAATGTTGATGCTTTCCAGCATGCCAGAGATTTAGAAATAGCTCCTGATTTACTCCAAGGATGAAATTTTCTGAAGTACCTAATGCATGAGATATATATAGAACAATAAGGGTAAATATAAACACAAAATGGCTGTCCATGCCCTGTTGATCTGTGCTTTGAAGGATAAATGGCTTCATTAGGTGATAAGGGGAAAAGGTATGCCATCCTGCCAGTAAAGGTTCTATCCCTGTACACAGGAACAAGGATTATTCTGGTATTTAGCTATATTGTGAGAGTTGGACTTTGCAATCTACATTCTTCCAGCTCAGGTCTTGAATATAATTTGCAATCTGTATGCCAGCAGCAACCTATCCTATGTGGCTACTAGGCACTTAGAAAGCACTTTGTTGAAGTGCTTAAAACTTTTTATTAGATAAATGTGTTATATGAAGATTTAATTAAAAAAGGACAGATATCTACTGCTAACTTTTTTTTCAATATTGATTCTTCAATCTAAGACATGAATTGTATTTACTAAGAAAGCTGCCTCTTTCTTGAGAATAAAAACTCTTTGATTTAAACAATTTCAAAATAAAACAGAAAACCAGAATTTATCTCCAGTGGTTTGCTTACTATTTTCAGACTACTTATGGTTGGAAATCTTCTATAACGACTTTCATGAGAAGGTATTTGCTGAAAGAAGGCTAAATGCAAAGTTTCCTCCTGGCACACGACATAATGCAAGTGCTATAAGGAAATGTTAATAAAATTACAATTATTTCAACCTGCCATTATTTGTCAGAACTTGGGAGGCACACGGGTTCCTCAATACATGTTTCTGTGCGCTAAAACTTTCTGGATGTGCTTCAGTCAAGTTTCTGAACAGGCTTTGTGGTCGGTTTTTAACTCATCCTCCAGGAGCTATGAAGTTATAGGAGTTACAGGAGCTGCGCAGAAAATGCCGGCAGGAGCCGCGTGCCGCCGGAGCAGCTGCCCGACATTCCCTGCGGAGAAAAGGAGGCGGCTCAGGGGCCCTGATCGCTGGTACCGCACCTGAAGGGAGGCGGTCGAGAGAGGATGGGGGGCGGTGTCTTCTCCTAAGCAACAAGAGACAGGACGAGAGGAAATTTGCGCCAGGAGATGTTAGATTCGTTTAGATTACTTAGATTAGTAACTAGGTTTCCTAGTAACTAGGAAAAATTTCAGCCGAAACGGTTGTCAAGCACTAGAACAGGCTGCCCAGGGAAGTGGTGGAGTCACCATCCCTTGAGGTATTTAAAAGCCGTATGGATGTGGCACTTGGGGACACGGTTCAATGTTGGACGTGGCAGCGCTGGGTTAATGACGGCGATCTCACACCCTTTCCAAGCTGGGACGCCCTGTGATCTGGGCACAGCGCCGCAGCCCCGGCTCCGAGCCCGGCCGGCTGAGGCGGAGCCCGCCCGCCGCGCGGGGAGCGCCGGGAGTTGTAGTCGCGCTGCCGCGGGAGCACCGGCGGCGCCGCCGCCTCCACGGCCCGGCGGAGCGGCCGGGCTGGGCCGGGCGGAGGGCTCCCCGGGCGGCTGTGCCGGCAGCGGGGGAGGCGAAGGGTCTGGTCACAGCGCCGTCCTTCGCTCTCTGGAGAGGGACAAATGGAGGCTCAGTGGCGTCAGGGCGGCCGGGGCCGCGGCCGCGGCAGGCCCGGGGACGAGCTCGCCGCTCGCTCTGGGGCGGCCGCCCGGCCCCCGGTCGCTCGGGGCCGCGGCGCTGCCCGCGCTGCGGCAGCGGGGCCCATCGGCGACGGGGCCAGCGGTGAGTGTTGCGTTCCGCCCCCTACCCGCGCTGCCGGGCCCCGGGCTGTGCCCGGAGCCCCTGCAGATGCGAGGTCGGGGCTGTCCCCCGCGGCGCGGGGAAGGGAGGCTGGCGGGCCCCGGCCCCCTCCCGCGCTGCTTGGAGGTGTCGAGCCGGTGCTCGCCATGTGCCGGGTCCTGCCTGCAGGCTCCTGCCGGGGAGAGACGCGGAGGCCTCGAGCAGTGGCGAGGAGTTGAGGGGCTCAGCCCTCGCCAGGGTGCACTGGGTGCACCGTCTTCCTGAAGCATTAGAGGAAAGTGTGAAGTAATGGATGAAATGTTTCTGTCTGGTTGGAAAGAGCCAGGGGATTTCCTCGGTAGAGACAGCATTAGGTGCGCTGGTCAGCGAAACACTTGGCTTCGGTGTGGGAAAGGTGCGGGTGCTCGGTGTACGCGGCAGCTGGGAGTGCAAGTTCGCCCTCGGCAAATACAGCAGAGAAGTGCCAAAGACAGCTCTTTTCAGTGGCAGCATAGTTTCTTAAGAAAAGCCTTAAAGCTAAACTTGATTAAACCCTGGTAAATATATTGGGTCTAATAGAAAAATCTCCTGTGAAATAGCGTGAACACGCTCTTGCAGTAAAGATTTCTTGAATTTGAATGAGATCAGTGAAAGTCATAATTTAAGAAATACCACATGCTGGAGAAATACCTGTGTGGTACCTGCAAGTTATAACAGCTGTAAATTTCTTATAAACAAAACTGTGGGTTGTGTTTTGTTTTTCTCTTCCTCATGTGTGTCAGTTGTGTTTGTGTGGGATGTCTGGGGTTTTTTTAAGTATCCTTTTCATAAAGCAGCATTATAGTTGCTTCTGCTCTGGTATGTTAGGTTTGATTTGTTAGCAGTATTGATAGATAATCCTGCTGTGAATTTTATTATAATGCACAGTAAAGAAGTAAATACAATTTAGCTCTTCTTGTGTGGTATTGAAATGATAGTGATGTAATACTCATAAAAAAATAAAATCAGCAAACTCTTTAAAGAAAAGAATAAGTGAAAGTATGTAGAACTGAATGTGTGTTTACAATTAGCTATCATGATATTAATCATCATTAGTATTTTCTCTTAATAGAATTATCTTCACTGAAGAAATTTGATGAAATTAAGAAGGCCAACCAGGCTGCAGCAAAAAAGCTAGTTGAAGACCAATTAAGCTCCTCGTCTGAAGATGATGATGAAGATGCTGAGGCAAAACAAGGGAAGATTTTGGACAAAACATTTACCATTTACACCAGTCAAACTGGTAATGTTTTTTTCATTTCTTGACTTTTATTTTGGTCTGAAAGCATAAGCAATGCAGTATTATTGTATTTAAATTTTACTGTAGTTGGAAGGAAGGCACTCTATCATGTCTTACATTAAAAATGTTCTTTCCCAGCAGTGCATGCTGGGTGTACTTCTTGTCTTTTCGTGCAGAAGCAATGGTATAGCTCTTAACTGTCTGAAGTGTGGCTTTTTAAATAATACATGACTGGCTTTATTCAGAGAAAAAATACTTGTGCAGTAGTTTCAACATGTACAAAATAACAGATCAAATGTTACTAATTGCTTTAAAAATCTTTTCCCATTAAGATGGAGATGCAAGTGAACTGGAACGTACAAGACAGTACATGAATGAGGCCTTTCAGTCAGGGGCCATGACATGTCTCATCTGCATTGCTTCAGTTAAAAGGAACCAAGCTGTAAGTACTTTACAGTAATCTTTTAGAGCAAAACAAATGTTACTGTCTGAATAACTTGTATTATATTATTGAGGTTATTATTGGGATTGATAGCTTTAAAATGGTAAAAGTACTAAATGCAAATTTGGCATCTTTGGATTTTGAAACACTGGAAGATGCAAGAGGTTACATGTGTAGCTTGTAATCAGAATGTGTCCTTTTTTTTGTCATATGTTTCTTCTCATTGTGTAAAATAGCTATTTTTAAGTTTTAGGTAGTAGCAGGTGACAAAGATAAGTGCTTGAATGCCAGTGCTTGCAATTGTGTATTCCTTATGCTATGGAGTAGCAAAGCAAAACATGAAATACTAGAACATTAGGAGATATTATTGTTAGGCTTACAGCAGGGAAACTAAGATAAACTTCACTGCCCTTAATGCTGATCAGGTGAAAAAGAAGTGTGTGTGTCAGAGAAGTTTGTCCTATTTCATATAGGTACATTTTATATGGGAAAGATTTCAGGACAAATATTTTTTCCTCTTTCTGATAGAGGTACATGAACCAAAAACATGTAGAACTGTGATGCTTTGTGAAGGATGACCTGGAACAGAGACTAGGCAGAGCTAAAGGAATAAAGTAGGTATTTATTAAAAGGCCTCAATGGATGCACCTGGGGCAGTACAAGAGCCCAGGCAGAGCTACACCCAAGATGAACCCAAAATGGTCACAAAAAAGGGACAACCAGTCACGAGGTCTCTCAATTTTAGAAGTTCTGGTCCATTTGCCTATTGGAGTTAATTGTCCAGTTACAGCTTTAGGTTATGAAGTCCCATCCTCCTTGTATTTCTCTCTTTATTCCACTGTTGTTTGTGCTCTTGGGCCTGAGATTTGGATTGGTTGTCCTTGGGTCCCCAGCTAGAGAAGGAATTGTTTTGTCTAAGCTACTCTGTGAGGAGAGCTCACCATCCCTTAATATGAAGCTCAGAGCTCCACACAAAGCAGTACAGAATCTGGGAAATATAAAAGCTAAAACCTGAGGCATCAACTGTGTCTTTGACATGAAGAAGAAATGAAGTGAAATAATAATAATAAAAATAACAACAAAATAATAATAAATAATTTCAGAAAATATTTAAATTTCTTATTATAGATATACACAGACTACAAGTACCCAATGAAACTGTAGTCAGTAACTTTTTTCTAAAAAGAAATGCAATATATTTTGTATGAATTCTTAACATATTTAATCCATATTCTTTCAGACCTCAATGAGTTTTGCTTCATATTTCTGTGGCTCTTGATAGAGTTAATCTTACCTTAGCAGAAGTGAGATGATTTGGTAACTTGAAAGCCTTCTTTTATAACTCAGTGGTTTGCTAATTATCTTGAATCTGTAGAATTTTGGCCAAGTCTGTTTGTTTTTGTAATGTCTCCTGCTTAGCTTTAGTTTTGTGAAGTTAGTTACCATAGTTATAGAAACTTAGTCATTGCCACTGTCCTCTGTAAGTTACTGGAGAAAATATCTGCATTTTCACAGTATTATTTCACAACATTGTCTGAAGTTATTAAAAAAATAGTTAAAATTTTCTTCTGCACTTTTCTTACCAAATTGTTACAGTTTTGGGTAAAACCAAAGTCATCTTTATGGTGCCAGGTGGTTTAATAAGAGAGAGTGGCACAAACTGGGCCTTGGGAGATGCAGTTTGGGTTCTAGGAAGGGGATATGATGGTTGGAGTAGCTTGCTCACAAAGATTGAGTCCCCATCCCTCAGGGCTTTCCAGCTTTGCTTGGCAAAGCTGTGTCTGAACAGAGCTAAGCTGGCAGTAGTCCTTCTTTGGGCATCAGTTTGTGCTACATGACCTCCAACAGTGTTTAAATCAACATTTCTCTGATTATCTGAGTATTTTGGGCTCCATCAGCCTTGGCAAAAACTTCCACGGGAGTTGGAAAAAAGATTACAGGTATGAATCTGTAACAGGTATGAATCTATGTATTGATCTAACAGTGGGTATAATCTGTCTTTGAAAAACTATTTTGGAAGGGAAGTATTTCTTCAGATGTTACGGATTTTCATCAGTGGAAACAGAAACCTCATTTAAAGCAATTGGTGCTTGATGTCTGCTCTTTAGGTCTGGAGCTGTTGTGGATGCTTTTGTATATTTCATCTGGTGTGTATCCAAAAGTGGGCCAAGGACAGCCTCTTCCTTGTATCTTCTCCTCTGACAGATGATGACTTTGGGAAGAAAGACTATCCCTGGCCATGGTGAGCTCCTCGTGGTACATTTACAAAGTTATTTCTGTTGAGAAGACCAGGCAAACCGGTGTTCCTTTAGAAGGAGTGGTATTTGTACATCATGTGCACAACAACAACCAAAAAAAACTGTTCAGAAGGCTGACTTTTCTTTGCTTTTTAAAATTATGTAAGTTTCTGTTAAAATGATTCAGAAAAATTTCACACTGTAACTAAAACCTTGCTACATCAAATTTGTTTTAACCTCTTAGAAGGTAACTTATCTGTATCTCAACTTCTGATATTTATTTCTGAATGGCTTTACATATTTTTCACTTTTAAAGTTGGCACCATGAAATAAGTTTAAAAAATATTGTCAAATAGCAAGATGTAGGGATTTATTTATTATTTTTTTTTAGTCTTGTTATAATCCAAACATTAAGTTAGGCCTTGCAGTTTTCCTTGAGATTGTATAAAGAAGGAGGTAATAATGTGGCTACATGAATACAGTTTCCTAAGCAGTTTTGTTTAGGAAATAAAGTGTCAGTTGTTGCCTGGCTGCATCTCAAGTTGATAATGCCTCTTCAGGCAAATGGTATTTTATTTTACATGTAAGGACATGCTAAAACTATGCTATCACTATAGACAAATGGTTCATGGTCTGTAATATATTATATCAGGGCAAATTGATGTTTTAATTGATAAAAATGAGTGCATAGGTCTTTCAGAGTCTTTCTGTTCTTCTCTGAGGGGGACTTTCTTGTCTGTTGTCTTTTCTCAGTGTAGCCAGCAATGTGAATTGCTTTGTTTCTCCTTCCTTGTGTTGCCTCCCTTGTTCATGGCTTCTGTGGGGCCTGTTGGGCCTGTGGCACTTTATAAATCCCAGGCCTCCAGTGTCTGTCTACCTTTAGAAATAATTATTTTTTTAACTTCTCTCAATATCAGGAGTGAACAATGAAGGTGTACATCTTGAATCTAAATTTTTTCATATAAAATTCTAATTAGTATGCTTGGTTTTAATAGCATTGCTAAACTTTGTTTTACATGACTAATAGACTGCTACTAGTAAACCCCTGGTTTTTAATCCTTTTTTTAATTGGTTCTACTTAAGTAGGTTAACTGTTGCATAGATTCTTTTGATATTACTTGACATAAAAACTGTTCTGATTTTTGCTGTGCTTATTTTTGTCTATATGTATTCTTAGAGAAGAGAAATTGCATTAACAAAGCAATTCCTTAGACATTCCAATTAATGTATTGTAATATCTGACATATAGAAAGACCTTTCTTCTGTGTTACTGTGTATTTTTGTTATTCATTGTAGTAGCTGTAAAAATGTTAATTGGTAGCATTGAAACAGTCTTGGGAAGCCAAAATGATAAAACTGGTTTTTTTTTCTAATTGTTTTAAGAAGTTGTTTTTGTTTTCACTCCTTTTCCCCTTGTTGTAGTCCAAAATGTAGGTTTGAATACAAACGCTCTGAAACTCCCAGTAGATATTACTGTTACTGTGGAAAAGTGGAGAATCCAGCAGTGGACCCATGGCTGGTACCTCACTCCTGTGGTCAAATATGTGAGAGGGAATTCAAACCTTCCTGTGGTCATAAATGTTTGCTGCTTTGTCATCCAGGTAAATCCTTTGTGTTTCTTGGTTGTGTCACCTGTATTTAGATACCTGTTACACAGTTCAACTTAGCATCTCTTAAGTATATTTAAAATTCCCAGAATAGAAGAGATGTAGTCAATGCTGAATGGTCTTTAACAAGATGAATGGTCATTAACAAGATGCTATTTTTCCTGTCATTAGGACCATGTCCACCTTGCCCAAAGATGGTGACAACAACGTGTCACTGTAAGAAGGCCAAAGCAGTGCCCCGACGGTGCAGTGCCAAGGCGTGGTCTTGCCGCCTGCCGTGTGGGCGAATGCTGCTGTGTGGACAACATGTTTGTGAGAATCCCTGTCATGCAGGTAGGCCAACCTTTTTAAATTTCAGAGCAGTAGCTGTTTCTGTTCTTAAGATACATCATTCTTTTGCAATTCCTATTCTCAGTGTCACTTTGCAATTGCATGCAGGAGATTGTCAGCCTTGTCCACGTGTCAGTAAACAACGGTGTATCTGTGGGAGGCAGACAGCAGAGAGGCTTTGTGCAAGCCCTCAGTGGCAGTGTGATCAGGTATGTTGAACCTATCCTTTTAGACAGATTTCTCACCTTTATAAAATTTGATTACTTGATGTATTAAGGATTGGAAAAACTTATTCAGTAAGAAAAAAAAATTAACTTTTGGAAGTGTACAAATCAAAAATATATACAGCATTGTTTTGAGTAGAGATTTAATTGGTGACTCCGTTAATTTTCTATAATAGTTAAAATGCTACTGTTCTGGAATTGTTCTGGGGTTACTCTAGCAGTGAATTTAACTTTGTATACTCTTTTTCTTTTACTTGAGGTTGAAATTTCAGCTGTTGCCTTCAAAAATAAGAATGAAACCATAGCTTAGCAGACAAGAGTTTCATTTTACCATAGCTTAGCAGACAAGAGTCCTAATTTTAGGACTGTAGCAGAATGAAAGCTTTGTGATTAATTCTTTGAAGTGTATTTGCAGCCTGTGCTTAAGACCAAGGCTATGGATTGACAGACTGGAAAAAATAAAAATAATTTAAAAAATTAAGTGGTGGAGGGGAGGCTGTATCAGGGGGTACTTGGCCATTCTGATCCCAGTAAGGAAGGTACTTGGCCTCTGTGAAGTATCAGTTAAAATGCAGTTTATTTCAGCTAACACTGTAGAGAAAAGGAGTATAATCTAAAGACTAGCATGTCCCTTTAGATCTCTGGAGCCTCAAGCTGTGCAGCATTGAATGGGCCATGAGAGATGTGCAGCATACAGTGCAGACCCCACTTTGGTTGTTGAAGGTTATTGTAGGATCTTACAAGAGGAAAGCATCCTTGATCATAATTTCTACAGTCAAACACAAAGGCTATTCAGATGAGAACTTCTTGCTGCTCTTTTAGATAAAAGCAAAGACATGCAGACACCATAATCACTGGTACGAAGTGGGAGGTGCCTCCACTCTCTTCTGTACAGTAAGTTTATCCTGTGGCCAAAGTGTATGTGCCCACAATGCAGGCCTGAAGGCTGAGCTGTATGTGCAGCCCAGCACACACCTGCAACTACTCAGGTTTTGTGAGTCACTAACTCCTCACTGTACTGTACTGATTCCAGGCAGGATCACTGTTTTATTTAGTGAATCTGGCAAATACAACATTTATTAACAAAATTCAGAAAAAGTGAAATTTCATCCAGAAGCATTTCACTCCTGCTTTTTACCCTTGGCTTGCTTTAGCTTGGTATGTAGCTCTATTTCATTGCATTCACTGATTTCTCTGAATTTCTCAGGTGTGTGGGAAGTGTTTGCCATGTGGCAATCACACATGTGAGCAAGTTTGTCATGCTGGTCCCTGTGGAGACTGTCCTCGTTCTGGGAAAAGGTCCTGTCCATGTGGAAAAACAAGTAAGCTACTTTTTTTTTTAATGATAAATTGAATAAAAAGTCCTCCAGTCTTTCACAGTCAGTGGTTTAGGCTAATTCTGCAGGGCGGGGTCCATGAAAAGTTCTCACTGTCAGCCATGACAGTACATTAAATTTTTTTTGCATAGCTTTCAAAGATTTATTTAGCACCAGGGGTTTAATTTTTGATGTGAATAACTAAGTAAATCTAAGGAAGCTTTGAAAAAACCAAAAGACAACTGTCATTTGAACTTACTATACATTGCATTTTTTCCTAAATATTTTGGCTTTTTTTTTTGTTCCCTAAATGTTTACTTGTACTTTCCTCTCTTCATCTAGAGTTCACGTTGCCTTGTACAGAAGATGTACCCACCTGTGGTGATAGTTGTGACAAAGTTCTGGAATGTGGAATCCATAAATGTTCACAGCGCTGCCATCGGGGTCCCTGTGAAATATGCAGACAGGTTAGTCTTACTTTATCAGGCTCACATTTTGCTTGGGCTCTTCAACTATGTGCCTGGAACAGGGCAAGTCACCTAAGGAAAATGCAATCACATCTATCACAAAATCTGTCACTCTGTTTATTAAAAACAACATGTTCTTTCATTATTCCCCTCCCACCTCAACACAACTCTGAGTAAGTAGTTGAGCACTGTATTGAGTTGAGGCTGCACCTGTGGATGAGGGTATTGCTTTAGCTTGGATTTATTTCATTTTTTAAAAATTATTATGTGCTAAAAGACAAATTTCCCCTATCTTTCCTAGCTTCCTTCTGGCTTTGTCTTTCTATGATATTCCTTCATTAGTGAGATGGAAGGTGGTATAAAATAACACTATTTTCTTCTTTGTAAGAAAATTAACAATAAGAAATTTACTGTGCTCTAGATATCTCTGGAGCTTCTGTGGTCTGGCCTACAAAGCCATTGCTCTGTCAGGTCTCAGCTGTCTCTTCCTGAACCAGCTTTGGCTACAAAATCTAGGTGATAGTAATCATCACTTGACAGCCATGATGAAGGTCAGATAAACCTGCTCATCTACTTCTTAAATTATCTGTATACACTAGGGGTGAATCTGCTTTCATGTGCAGGAGAGGTACTTTTTTGTACTAATTTGTTTTGCAGTTACACTTATCATCTTGCAGGACACGCTTGCCTTGTGTATGCAGTGTAATGTTACTTTTCCTCGAACTTTCCTTTACAGAGTAGTAGAACATTCTATTTTCCTTTTTTTTTTCTCTTATATGAAAAACACCCTGCTTTTTTTGCCTGTGCTGGTGCCCAGGAGGTTGAAAAGCAGTGTCGCTGTGGGAAGCACACCAAGCGCATGCCGTGCCATAAGCCATACCTGTGTGAAACCAAGTGCACCAAAATCCGCGACTGCCAGAAGCACCAGTGCCGCAGGAAGGTAAGAGCCCACAGATGATCTGTCTCAAATGCATTGTTTAGCTGACTTGTGAAAAAAGTCTAGATAAAATCACATCAATTTGTTGCTCCACCTCATGTTACTGTGTAGCAAGAGGAATTTTCTTCCATGTCACTGAAATTAGTTTTCAGTGTACCAGAATTCCCCGAAAAGGATGACATCAAGTAACTCTCACTGGCCTTATAAGCAGGGAGGGGATTTTGACAACTCTATAGTTCCTGAATGCACTTTTGCTGTCAGGTTCTTGAGTAGTCACTGATGATTTATGCTTTCTGCAGCAGTAAATCAAATTTATTTCCCTGCTTTGTAGGAAGAGCTGGGAAACACTTAAAATTTTGTCAGGGACACACTCTTTATTTTTCACAGCCCAGCATTCCATCCCACATACACAGCAGTGCAAGCAGCAGTGGTCTGACAGTTGGGAATTGGAGATTTGTTTCACTTCTTATTTGAAGTCAAAAGTATAAGAAGGATCTTTTCAGTTTATTCATTCAAGAGAGCCTGAAAGTTGCCTCCTATTTTTGAATTAATACTTAGTGAAAGTTGGACTACTTACCACAAATAGGCATGAAAAAATACAGTTTTACTCTTAAGTATTTTTGAATATTATTGTTGTAGTAAATTTATTTTATGTGAAAAGATTACAAAACAAGTGAATGCAGTGTTGACACCTCCATGGTGGAAAATAGAGGTTTCTTGTTGGAAGGAAGGTACTTTTCAAGTTAGTAGAAAAGGTGATGTTCTCTCCTGATACAACATCCACCGATGTGATGGTTTTACGAGATTTTTTGATTCTTTCATGTTACTGATTTATTTAAGAATAGAAAATAGATAACTGGTCGTGAAATTATCTGCCTTTACTACAGAGGTAAAGGGTGTATAAAAAAATGGTTAGCAACATTTTTGTGCTGGGGACAATAGAGCACAAAAGTGGAAGAAATCGCAGAATAATGAGGTGAACTGTAAGATGTCCTATCTTCTGAAATTATTTGTGATTAAAATATTATAATATTTTGAGCTTTATGCTTTTTTGAAGCCCTCTGCCTTTTTAATGTGTTGAAATGATGCATTAAAATGTGTTCTCTTGTTATTTTGTAATAAAAAAAAAATTTAAACCACTTCACAGGTAGCCTTTTTTCTGGAATGGGTTTGAGGAAATTTGGCTAAATTACACTGACTTTTTTTAAAAATAAGTATTGAAAAAATGAGATAGTAGAAGAGGGAAAGTGTACACCAAAAATTTCAGTGTCCAGTTATTAGATTTCATGGGGCTTTTTTTAATAGTGCTGTTCTGGAAACTGTCCACCTTGTGATCAAGTCTGCGGGCGGACTCTCGGCTGCAGAAATCACAAATGCCCTTCAGGCTGCCACAGAGGTAAGAACAGGTGAAGAATCCCTGTAGTGATGGAATATTGCGTAGTTTTTGCCAAATTTCATGCTTGCATGACTGTGTGTAGTGCTTAATAAATTCTCTCCATTGTTGCATGTGGGCTTTTTGTGGGGGCAGTGTGTTTGAAAGTGCTGGTTAGAACTTAAGGACTTACATAGTGGCAACCTCAATTTTTATGTGGTGATTTTGCTTAATACTTTTCCTCTGAAAATGCTCCTGTCTCCTTTCCAATTGTGTAATACAAAAGCCATGGCTTGACTTCCATTTCTCAATAATTCTGTTCACTGAATATGCATAACAAAGTCCAAATGCATACAAGAAATGACTGCTGCTGATTGAGTCTGGACAGTTTTAAAAAATCCTAGAATGCAACATGTGGTACAAGTGGGCTTAAAATGAAAAAAAAATATGATGGAATTGGAATATATATCAGTATCCTACTGGTAAAAGAAAATAACAACTTGTTACTGACTGAGAAGGATAACAAAAAAGTTTGCTTTGGAATCCAGTGACCTTGGTTAGAAAGATGCTGGAAATGGGCAAAATTACCTGGCAGATTGCTTGGACATTGGCTTGGTAGGGGGTTAAATTGGAATGACTGGAAAATTGTCTGCCCTCTCAGCAATTTTCCCCGCAGAAGCTGCTGCCCTGCTGAAACAGCAGCCAAGTAGGCTCTGTAATTTTCCTTAGTATTCTGAAGTATAAATTGCAATGACTCAGGAAGTAAATCACAGCTTGTTCAGCCAGTCTTCCTTCTGAGGCAGTGACTCTTAGGAGAAGAGGATAGGTAAATGTGGTAGTTGTACCTGTTAACTTGCTATTAAATCTGTCACAATAAACTAGTAGTTTGGTTTTTCTCTGTATACTGTGTCCCCTATTCTCTTTCCCTTTCTTCTCCATCCCCTGTACCTCTCTAAAATCTTGGAAATATGTAATTTTTTTGGTGTACTGTCAGAAGAAAACTGGTAACATTGCTTTTCCATGTTAGTTTGGTTGATAACTAAATTCTAGAATAAAATTCTGATTGGAAAACTCAAGATCTTATGCTGTATTATGGGATAAGCTTTTATGTTGAATGATTGTTTGTATTTGGTGCTGCTGGCTAAAAGTGACAAAGATTTCTAGTAATTAACATGAAAACACTAAAGCAATGTCTGTAAGAAAACAAAAGTGATCCTTGAGAATGTAAATAACAAATATATACACTTTGAAGAATAACTTATCAAAAGAACATAATTGTCTATTTACTCACTAAAGTTGCATATAATGAAGGTAATCGCTAATGATACCAGATGATACATTTATTTTCTTTTCTAAATTCTGTGTTTTAACAAAATACAGTCTTGTACAGTTTGTAATATCTTCATAAATGTTTGAAAGTATTCCTTATAAAGGCAGTTATTTTAATGTAAAATATTTATATTAATTTGTTTCTCCCTATATACCAATATTTTAATAGCTACTGAAAGTTATGATTAATTATTTTATCTTTGTAATACAATATCTATGTAATAAAATATCTTTGTAATAAAATATCTATGTAATAAAATATCTTTGTAATAAAATAACTATGTAATACAGGGTCAGGGTAATTTTCCTATGAGCTGTCAGATTGCAGTGACCACTGATATTAAAGGAAATAAGGCCTCATAGAAAATAACTTCCCAGATAGGGTCCTTTAAAAGGCATCAAATCTCAGAATTTTTAGAGGTTGGTGATAATAAACACTTGGCCTTTAGCAGGAGTCCCTGGAAAAAGGTAGCTTAATCTATTCTGTTCGTGTTTTTGTTTTTGTTTTTTTTTTTACTTCTTTTCTTAAATATTTATTGTGCCTGCTGAAATTTACAGTGTGTTGCCAGGGAATAGAAATGTTTTGCTTCCTACTGTGGTACATTATAATGCTTGATTTGAGAACAGTGTGCTCTCACCTTACCTTCAGGCTCTCTGAATCTCTGATCTCTGCCTTTCTGTATTTTTGAGAATGTAGCCAGTTGTCTTCCTTAACAGGATATTTAAGTGAATTGCAGACATATTAGCCACTCTGGGCACTATAGCTTTAGACCTTTGGTTTATTTTGCTAAAGTAGCTGGACAAGCTTGAGAAGGGGGCCCTTGGAATCTCATGATCTTTACCAACCAGGTGCAAGGTGCTGCACCCGAGGGTTGGGGCAGCCCCTGGTATCAACATAGGCTGAGGACTGAACAGATCCAGAGCAGCCTTGCTGAGAGGGTCTTGGGGGTGCTGTGAGAGGCTGGACATGACCCAGCCATGGGCACTCACAGCCCAGAGAGCCAAAGGTGTCCTGGGCTGCATCCAGAGCCCTGTGGGCAGCAGGGGAGGGAGGGGGTTCTGCCCCTCTGCTCTGCTCTGGTGACACCCCACATGAAACAATGCATCCAACTCTGGGGTGCCAGCACAGGAAGGACATGGACCTGTTGGAGTGAGTCCAGAGAAGGGCCACTAAGATGGGGAGAGATATGGGCACCTCTCCTGTAAGGAAAGGGTGAGAGAATTGGGGTTGTTAAACCTGGAGGAGACTGGCAGCCTTCCAGTCCCTAAGGCAGCCTACAAGAAAGATGGAGAGGGACTTTTTACAAGGACAGGCAGTGGCTGGACAAGGGGCAGGACAATTCTTTCAGTGAAAAGAGAATATGATTTGATTAGATTAGATTAGATTAGGAAGAGATTTTTTACTGTGAGAGTGGTGAGGCATTGGAACTGGTTGTCCAGAGGATTTTTGGATGCTCCATCCCTGGCAGTGTTTTGAGGGAGGGACTATGAGCAGTGCAGTCTAGTGAAATGTGTCCCTGCCCATGGCAGAGGGGTTGGATCTAAATCATCTTTAAGATCTCTTCCAGCCCAAATGATTCTATGTTTCTGTGCATGCTGAACACTACAGTCTTATTTAATTTACTTTGCAATATGAAGACTGTAGTGCTTCCATCCTTTTCTCTTCAGCAGCCTTTTGCCAGTGAGACATCTGCTTCTTGAAATGCTGCTTTTCAGATCCTGCTAACAAGTCAGAATTGCTTAAAATTTTTTGCTGTAAATGTCTTCATTTGTTTTCTTAAAAGCTTCAGAATGCAACATGATTAGTAAGCTAAAATCTCACATCTTTGCTTTTTTTAGCAGATTCATATTCTTGCTGTTAAATTACTCAATAATAAAACTTAGCAGTTGTCACTTGGTGAAGAAATGGTGTGGGAGAGTTATGAATTAAAACATAGATCTTTTACAGATACAGTTTTTAAAATGCATCAGATTATTAACTTTATAGAGATGAAAGATGTTGTCAAGGAAGAAGCATTCATTATACACGGGCTGAACATGAATATCATACTAAATCTGCAAAACTTTATTGTACCAGTTTTTCAGTGTCCCTTTTTGAATTTAGATGAAAGATGACATTTCTTCATAGGTAAGTAAGACTGAAATACAAATTGAAAACATCTAAGTGTTGTGTGATCCAAATAACTGGGTTTCTTTTATAAATGTGATAAAGGGGTTATTTCTGACTTGCCTTTCACATTGTTAATATATTTATTTTTAGGTAGTTGTAATCCATGTCCAGAGACTGTAGATGTGAAATGCAATTGTGGAAGAACTGTCATCAAAGTGCCCTGTGGCAGAGAGCGCACCATCAAACCTCCCAAGTGCAAGCAGCTGTGCAGGTCAGTATAGAAAGTGGGTCTGTTTCCTGTTCTTTAGTGGAGTTTAAAGTGTTCTTAAAGAAAGTGGTAAAATATACCTTGAAAGGCAAAATTTGTTCATTATCTGATTACAGTTATTACTTCTCAGTCTTCTGAATCCCTGACTATGCCGATGCAGATTAGCAATAATCTCTCCTATCAGATACCTCTCTGACACAGAGGTTTCATGAGCAGCTTGCCTGCTTCATGGGGGAGGTTCTGTCCCACCAAGCTCTTCCAACTCTGTAGACCAGCTCATTTCTTCAAGTCTCCTCTGGTATGTTTTGAAGTACCTCAGTGAGGCAGTTTATCTGGAAAACTAGCAAAAGAAAAAGAATATTTTCTGCTGGAATGTAGCAAGATTATGTAGTGCAGAGTAGAATTAGGATTGAAACAGCTGTTTGAATATGTAAACCAACTCTGATATTTTATTTAGAATTCCTCTCTAATTTTATTGTAAGGTTAACAACCCGCTGAAGATGAAAAGTAAGCTAATTCACAAAAAACACCAACAGCTTTTCATTTCAGTTCTTTTTATGTTGAACATACTTGCCCAGTGACTGTAACTTGGTATTTTCTGCTGTCATATTGATTCATTCTTGGATTTTACTTCAGTCGGCCACCTACCTGTCACCATCCTACCCAGGAGAAACACTACTGTCACTTTGGGCGGTGCCCTCCGTGTCGCCAGCCCTGCCAGAAAACCTTAACCTGTGGCCATTTGTGCCCTGTTTCCTGCCATGATGAGGCACTTGTGAAGCAAACAGGCTCAGTAAGTAAACAGTGAAAAATGGTGCATTATTTGTGTTTGAACAATGAGCATCAGTTTGACCTGAATCTTCTGTTTTGGGGCTTTTGGAGTTCAGAGTAAACACATAGTCAAGCACAGACGGTAGGCATACTGCTCAGCATGATGCTAACTAGTTCTAGCTCCTTTGTTGCAATCTAACTAATTTCTTAATACATACTTGAATTGCTCAAAAGATAAGATTCTTGTTGGAGTTGTATTAAAAACATTTAATTTCAGCTTTAAGCAATTGCTTTTAGCATAAGAACCAAAAAAATTTAAGTGTGGTGTTCACAAAACCATCAAATTTTGCACAAGTTAGAGGTCAGAAATTGGCAGTTTTTAACATAACATGTGTTATGCACTGCATGATGGTAATTGAAATAGCTTACTAGTTGAAATATTTTTACCTTTATTAACTGGTTAGAACTGTTTTACTGGTCTTTTTTATTTGGCTTGGTGCTTAATTTTTAGCACTAGGAGCCACAGGACTTAATTTTCCTATCCCTAACCACGCTAAGAATAAAACTGTAATTTTTTTGTCTATATGGGATGTGGAGATTTCCATTAGTAAAAGCTAGTTAATAGAAAGTGAATTTTTTAGAATTGGAAAGGCTTTAGATTGTACATTTATTTATGGTCAGGCAGATAGTTCCATTTATGTTTTGTATTCAGCTGGTGTCTTTTGCTCTCAGCATCAGTCTGCAGGGCCTTGGGAACAGCCATCTGAGCCAGCCTTCATTCAGACTGCACTGCCGTGCCCTCCCTGTGAGGTTCCTATACCAGTGTAAGTAGTAAAATAAAATAAGAAAGGCAAATTAAAAAAGGAGGTTTTATATGGAAGGTAATTATTTTGTGTCCAAGAAGTTATCAGAGATATTTTTTAAAAAATAACTGTTCTTCAGACTAGACCTCTGAAATAACTGAAAAATATGGTGTATTAGTAGAGAAAAAGAAGATGCTATTTGGAACAAAAGCAGGTTACTTTCTAAAAAGTAACTGATTTCATATACAACTACAATTAATTTGCAATGAAACAAATTTTGAGATTTTCATTACAAAACACAGCAATCCAAACAACTGTTGAAAAGGGAGAGGCGTTGAGCTGCATAGATGGGTGATTTTCTTAGTTTGCACTTTTAAAAAATAGATTGCACTAATTTTTGTGTGAAAAGCAGTGTCACTGTTTGAAGTCCCCAAAAGAAATAGGCATTTTCTAATCTCTGATTTTTTATTTTTTTTAACAGGGAGTGTCTTGGACAGCATGAGGTGAGTCATGGAAACTGCCCTGTGAAGTGAAATATGGCAGTTATCTTACTTTGTAAGTCTGGAAAACAAAAGGCATTAAAAAAATTAGTAGATTTTTAATAAATATTTTTTAACTGATCAAGTACTTTAACACAACAGCTTACATATTCATGGACAGAAATTTAAACTCATCATTTATGTAGCTCCCTACGTTTTCTTGCAGGTGTTTAAATTGTGTTTAAATGTTTTTTGGTGGTCTTCTTATTAAATATTTATGCTTTTTTCCCCCTCACTCTATAGTTAGTATTCTCTCTCTGTCACACACTCTTGAGTTCTGTGAACTGCTGTGTGTATTTTAAAAGGATTAGGAATATAATGTCATACAGGAAAATTCTCATGTGACTTGGATCTAAGCACACATGGATGAAGTCAGACTGTGGAGTGGAAACTTCTTTAGTGTTAGTTAATAACTTATCTTTCTGGTGTGTAGCCTTCTCTAGTTCTAGGTGGAGTTGATGTCTCTTTTGGCTTACGTGAGAAGAGAATCTAATTGAAACTTGGTAGCTGTCATCATGATTCACAATAATTTCTAAAAGTTACAAAATGTAAGGTCAAGTATCTTTTCTTGATTTCAGAAGATGATTGCTAAACTAATTTAAAAAAACATTTTGCTGTTATGGTTTTGTCTGCTGGTATGTCTGCTATAAATTCAGCGTCAAAGCCTGACTAACTATATTAAAAAAAACCCGAGGATAATTTTAAGCAAGTAAAAAATTGTAGAAAACACTAAATAAATACAAAAATATCGAAGATACCTCTTTTTTTTTCCTTTGACCTTTATTAATAATGTCTTGCTGTGTGTTGTAATGGTGCCTCGATTATGTTTTGGTGACACCTTCAAATGTTGTTACCAGTGTCCAGGTAGCTGCAGTCTGTTGGGGCAGCATGTTCCTAACCCAGCCAGGCTGTGAATGCACTTTTCCATCGGGCTGTTTTGCAGCTTGATGGTTGCTGAAGAAAAGCTTGTCCTGAAAGTGGATGAAAAGATCAACAGTGCTTTTCTGTTTGTTGCTGAAACAGATGGGCTTTGCTTTGTTTTTCCACAGCCAGTTTGTTATTTAGTCAGTGACATGATTTTTGATAGGACATCCCGAATCTCACCCAAACTTCCATGAATTTATGTTAAATAAAATGCAAGCTGTGGTCAATAGACCCAGTCTAGAACGTGATCTAGACAGTGTAAAAGGATTTGGTCCTGTTCAGATGTACATGACTGTGAAGTTTGTCCTTCCTCACAGCAGAAGGTCAGTATTGCTACCTTAATAGAGAACATAGTAACAATTAGTACATACTTATTACTACTTGTTTCAGAATAATTTAAAAAAAAATTCAGTTTCTGTTGCATACTAGTCTTGGCAAAATTATCCAGTGCCTTTGGGTCATGTTTTCTATATGGGTTTGCATAGACAATAAGGACAAATCCCTGTTAGTCTATAGCTGACTTTAATTATTTAGATTTTTTGATGCTACACGGTGCTTTAGATGAACTGTGACTTCTGTCAGCCCGCAGAGGGCGGTGCTGCCTTCCTGCTGAAGTGCAGCAGTTCCTCGAGTGAAATTGTCTCCTCTTTGAGATTTTGGTGGAAGTTAAGGAAAAGAATGAGTCATTAATATGTATACGAAGTGTATTTTGTTTGCAGTGGATTTTGTGTTCATTGTACATTTTTGTGTTGCTCTGAGATCTCTGGAAAGAAAAAAAAAAACATGTAGTGTCTGTTCACTGTTTTACAGCCACATTGGTTCCTAGCAAATAATCTCAGCTCAAATTAATTTACTTTTGTTAATAAGAGAAAACATATGTATTTAGGAATGCTTCCCTCCAGTAGAAGGGTCCAGCTGCTAAGGGGATTTTCACTGGAAGATGGGGGCTGTTCACAAGTGACAAAAGTAGTAGTAGCAATTTTCCTAAGCAAACTTTTGCTGTGAGCTGTGAGTAGGTGTTTTTTGCTGTACTATGCTACTACTTATGTTGGACTGTTGTTATACCTCCTATAATGGAAGAGATAAAAAAGAAAGAAACTAGGAATGAAGCAGGCTGTAAAGTCTTCTTGTGTTTTATCAGGATGCCTACTGACAATGTGTAGAATTGAGAATAAAAGCGAACACCTTAGGACTTGTATAACAAGCAAATCTACTGTCTAATTTTTTAATATTTGGACAGTAAATTTAATTTGTGTAGATATTGGAGTTGGTTGCTCATTGGGAAGGTTGTGTATGGGGTTGTTTTATTTTATTTCTATTTGGTACTTAATTTAGGAAGTATTTTTAAGGGATTGATTTAGTTTGAGCTCTTACATGTTCTGGCATTTAGAACAAGCAATTTATCCCTTAAGAACAGACTTAAAATTACTTTTCAGATGATGTAATTATATAAAATCTGTTCTTAGTGGGAGTATGATTCTACATGATGTTTAAGCTAAAAGAACATTTCTTTTAGCTGAAGTCTACAGCCTTCTCTTAAATAATTTTACATATATTTATAAAAATAAATAACTCATCATTCTTCCATTTGTAGGCTCTTAAAAGTAGCTCTCAATTTTGTTTCAGGTTGTGTGTCAGAAAAATCACCTATCAACAGCTGATGCCATCCCAAAAAAGAAATCTTGATGTTCTGACTTTTCTTAACTGTTATATACATTGGAATTTCATAGCAGTAGTACACATATGCTCTTTTAAAATCTTTTAAAATCAAGTTATTCTAAATCTCTTTTTGATGGGAAACATACATTAAAGGTCATACAAGGTAAATGATGACAAAGAAGGAAATATTTAGTGACTAAGATATGAATTTATCTGCTGTGTGTGATTTTCTTCTAGTTGCCTAATTTCATTAAATGTTCTAGAGGAAGGGAAACACTCTGGTTCTGCTTCCTTCTAAATATCCTGTATCAGGCTGGGCATATCATTGAACTCTTCCTTCTTGGGTGTTTCTTTTTTCTTTAGATAGGAATTTAATGGTATGTTTTAATATTCTGAGTGGGTTTTAGTTCTGTTTTTTTCATAGGACGAAGACCATTACTCTGCCTCTAGGTAAAATTTAATGTGAAACTTGATGACTTTGTATGTATGGCTAAACACCTTATAAAGGTTTCCAGAATTTCCTTGCCCTGTTGATTTCTGTTTTCATATTCTAATTGATTTATGTGTTAATCACTTTTATGCATTTGGGAGATTTCCTGGAAAGCTTTTGAAAGTTGTCATGTGTTTTTTTTCTTTCCTTCCTTTCCTTGTCCTGTGGAAGACCTGTAGTCTGAAAATGTTGCTTTCTTTTTTTTTTTTCTTTCTTTCCCATTCAGCTTTCATAAAATACTTATGGTTCTCATCTGCCTTCTTCATTCTTCAGCTCATCAGCCTCCTGGAGTTTGTGGCTACTTTGATGTTTGTCTTTGTATTAAGAATTCCAGCCTTCAGAACCATTTCAGAAACTCATTCCTACTGTAGGAAGTAAAAGTTTACTTTCTCAGCTGGATTTATTGCTTGGATTCACAGCAGAGAAATGGAGAAAAAAATAATAATAGGCTTAAATTAATTGAAAATTTTCAATTTTTGGCTACAGTGTCTGTTGATTCCAGGAGGTTGTTGTATCTTACTGAGCTCAAGTTGAAGCCCTGCTGGATGCAGCCAGAGGGCTGGAATGTTCCCTCTAGTTAGACCTCTGAAAGCTGCCATTGTTGCCTGGCTGGCTTGTGTGCTTCACCAGTCTGCCTGTGTTTAACAGTGCCCCTCATCTGTGTGCTTGAGCAATGCTCCTGGGAGGGATGCTCCAATTCTGCCTAAGTGCTTGGCTGTAACTGGAGCTAGGGGTTGTGTCCTTATCTGGTGGAAGACTAACTCTTGGTAAAAGAAGTCTCACCAGCATTATGGAACAGCTGGAGCTAATTGCTGTTGTTGCCCTGATCTGGTGTCACTGTCTGAGCCATGGGCAGAAGCATAGTCATAAAAATCTGAGTGGCAATGGGAGAGCAAGGAAAGGTAGAGAAGTGGGTGGAATGTAATGATTAATACATCTTTTTTTTCCTTCTTTTATCTTGTAATCCTTTGACTACTTACATTGCTACTGAAAGGATGTTGTGCTCTGGAGAGGGAGATGGAGTAGGATGTGAAGGGGTGGGATACTAGGAACATCAAAACCTTTGGTGATTGCTAAGTGCATTCTGGGTAGGGTACTATTCTCTGCTTCAGACCCACTGCTTGCTGGCTTTTCCTTTTGTCACCAGAAGCATCCATCAGAGACAGAGGAGGATGTTTGCAAGGGGCAGTAGGGACCAGGTGTGGTTGTGGTATTGGTGCTTTAGCCAGCATGAGCTTCAGCTCTGACACGGCCTCAAGGTTTTCTCCTGTGTATGCCATGCTTGATGTTCAGCTTGCCATGCAGACTTCTCTTCAGTCTTGGTGAGTCAGGATGATCAGGGGAGTTCAGAAGTCTTGTGAATGAACTGGATTTTGAAGTGATGTAGTGGAGTAGTATTTTTTGGGTGAAGCCCAGAAAAATTTATATAGGCAAGTGGATTGAAATTGTGCTTTGTGTGCTTGAGGGAGGATAACATGGACAGTGCTGAAGGGAGGCTGTCCCTCATTCTGCCCTGTGGGGTCATCTCTCTTCTTTCTTTTCTTGTGTTCACCTCTTTGTATGGCCAGGCCACTGGCAAAAGTCAAGAAACGTTTTTCTATTGATTCCTTTTCTTCCATTTTGATTATTTGAATCATCCTTCTGTAAAGAGAGATGTGTGGTAGGACTTGTTCAAAGTGGTAGGAGAGTGCTGTGAGAGCTGTAGACTTTGAAGAGAGAAAAGGAATGGGTACCCTGCAAAGCAGTTCAGTCAACCACAGTTGCAACATAAAATCACACCCTTAGTCTTGTCAAAGTGAGTTATGTCACATTAGCCTCTTGTGTAATAACATCACAAATAGTTTGTTTTTCTCTGAGAAATGACATGAAATTTAGAAACAAAATCAATTTTTTTGACAGCATCACAGAAAACTAAGGTTTTTTTTTTTGTATGAGTATTATATAATGGTTGGAAAATGCTAACAGTGAGTTTCCTCTAATCCTTTTGTATGGAGGGACTTGTACTATTCAACTTCAGGCAAGTAACCTACTTAGGAATTTACACTGGTTTCAGTACCAATGAGGAGTAATGCCTTTAAAGTAGATGCTCTGAAGGTTTCTGCAGAGTTCTGTTAACTGGAGTGTTGATCCCAAACTGGAAAGTACAAATGTGACATAAGACATTAAAATCTTAGTCCTGTTCTGGAACTATTTCTGCTTCTCCTTACTTTTCCTTGGAGTTATATTTGATGTAGTCAGTATTTGCTTTTTAGCATTTCCGGCTTGGAGGTTTTCTGTTTTTGAGACTGTAAAATGTTTTTGATTTATGTTGACCATAACACAATTAGCCCTGTAAAAGCAAACTGTTACTGTCTTTTGCAATAATAGTAAAGCACCCTAGAAACCTTTAATGGAAGACATGAGTGTAGTTCAGAAAGATGGAGCAAATGGTGCTAAAAGATTTGAGTGCAAAATAATCTTTCAAAAAGAAAGGGAAACTATGCTACAAAAGTTAGCTTGTTTAATGAAGTGTGCCTTTTTCCTGTTATAGTCAGTGTAAAACAAATTTGTGTGGATAGGAACCCAAATGATACTTAAAAAATTAAATAGAATTTCTCTGGTGTTTTTTCTTTTTCAAAGGAGAACCAAAGCTTCTCTGTAATAATTCTGTGTCTCTGTGTGTGTAAATTTATATATCTCACAGGCTACATATGTGCAAAGCTTGTATATATTTATTCATTTATTTTTAACTTTTAGGTTAGTCCATTACCATGTCACTCTGCAAATCCCTACTCGTGTAAGAGATTTTGTGGGCAGCTTCTTGATTGTCAAAATCATACCTGTATGAAAGAATGTCATCGTGTTACTAAATCCAACAGCAGTGCAGATGGAAAGAAGGTAGGGTAATTTCCTGTTTGCTTTTGTTTTTGTGTATTTTATGTATTTTATATGGAAATTGTCTTCAGTTTTACTTGGAAAATAAGGAATTTACAGCTGGCAGGTAAAGATCTATTCCAGATCCCACTGGGAGACTTGCATGTGTGCTGTTCCCATTGATGCTGTGATCAGTTAGCTAATCTATATTTCCTTAGACTATAAACCTGAGACAGTATTGTGTTTTTTGCAAATTCTATAACTTTGTCTTGTGATGACATTACTTTGACTTCATCAGAACTTTATTTAACACCCTAGAGAAGTCTCTTCTGAAGTTACAAAAAGTAGCTGTCAAGATCAAGGGGAGCTACTGATAATCCCTGTATACAAATGCACTTGCAATCTACTGGGGAAGCTATTTACTGAGGAGAGTTTAAATGGGTTGAGGAGGCTGGGAGACCTTTAGGAGAGCACTGGAAATGTTGCAGAATTGCTGAAGACTTTTCAAAGTACTGGGATGATGTATTCATGTGTGGGAATTTATAAAATCAGAAGATTTTAAAAAAGCAAGAAAAGGACAGGCTCCAGAGACTTGTCAGAATAGAGAAATGCTGGAGCAGCAGAAAAAATATATTAGCAGTAGTGAAGATATGAAGACTAGAACAATAGGCCTGTGTGGCTTGGCTTTCTAAGTTGCAAAAAGTATATTTTAAGTATACATTTAGAAACTTAAATATGAATGGAGCTCTGTGCTTTGTCTTTTATAAATGAAGCATTGTATTAGAGAAAAAACTGCTGTTGTTTTAACCACAGCTATGTGTACTTCAAGTGATTAGATAGAACCACTGTCAATATGCTTTTGCTTTAAGTGATTATATAAACATGAATTTATCAGTGTCTACTAGAAACTGTCATTTATGCAGTTAAGTTGCAGGTGTTAACTGCTGAAGATAATGTGAAACAAAAGTGTAAAACTAAAATTGTTCAAGTCATGAGCAGTTAGAGGCACATATATATGTTGTATGGTTTGGGAGAGCCATGATTTGGAGGAAAACAGCTTCTCAAGTTTTTTTTAAGCATTACTTTCGAAAAAGTTGCACCATGGCAGTCTGGGCATTTAGAAAACACAGAAGCATTGAGTTGGGTGTAAAGCAGGAATGTTATATTTTAACTAGCTTACACTGAACTTAAATAGCATAATATCTCTGTGGATTCGTGTCCTGGACGTGGTGGTGTTGTCATTTAATAACTGTATATCGTAACACATTAACTTATGATTGTGGAAATTTTGTGTGAGGAGTATGGGCTGTTAGTGCAACTGGTGGAACAATGACTTGCAGCAACAGAGTGACATCAGTAAATAGTGAGTGACAGTTAAGCATCTCCAGTTCTGGCTATAAGAGGCTGCCTGCCTGCTGCCTCAGTTAAGCCAATTAAAATGTGAATGAGTCAGGACTATTTCTGGCTCCATTTTGAATGAGGCAGTACATTCTTAGAAGAATGAGAATCTATGTACCTGCAAAGCATGGGTAAATCTCATTTCTCAATTTTCTTCAATTCTTATGAACTCAAGTTTGTGTTGACCTTTAGAGCTTTTGTTCTCTTATTTTGGTAGACTAAATGTAGTCAGGGCTGATTTAATTTCTGGCTTATATGTCTGAGTAGTGATTTTTCTGTCTGGAATTTCACTTTGTTCTGCATGTTGTGTTAGAAAAATGTTGCAGAAAGGCCAGCTCTTTACTTTTACCTACTGTTAAATGTTATATGACAGTTTTCTAAATGGCTTTAGTTGCTGTTTTTTTTCTTAGATTTGAATTTTTGTGAGCCAAGATTTGTTAAAAATCATTGTACAAAGGTTTCTTTTTAAACTTCAGCAAAAATTGTTCAGCTATAGATGGAGAAGGAAAGGGAACTGGGGAAAAACTATTAAAACCTTAAAATTCTTATGCTGTTATTTTGAACAGCATAAAGGGGAACACTGGTGTTGGAAAAGTCCTTTTGGGGAAGCTTTTTGTAGCTTCATTCCTGGATAAATTTGCTTTCCTTTGGCTGACTTCTTGGAAACTATACATTGAATGTGATAGTAGTCCTTAAATATTGTGTTGTGTAGGTTGAGTTGATAAATCATGTCAATCTGTCTGGGTCTATTTGGTTGCAGACTGGGGTTCTGGAAGTGTTGTTAAGAATATGAGTAGAAATGAAGCTTCATTTACTGTACTGTTGATCACCTTGTGCCGGTGATCGCTTCAGCTGGAATGAGAGTGACATCACAGCTCTGGGAGACTTGTGTAGTCTGTGGAGTAAAAGCAAGACCTTAGGCAGTTCCTAGGATGTTCCCAAGTTAATAATTCTATTTGGAAGATTATACAAAATATCATATGTGTATGGAAATGGAATTACTTAAATTTGCTTCTTAAAATCAAGCAAACCAATCCTACCACCCCTGCATTAGAGGGTAGTATGTAATGACTCAAGCATTACAAGAATATGGTGAGTGGACTAAGTTGGTTTTGAATATGTAATGACTTATTTTTTTAACAATTTTCCTTAGAGAATTAACAGGGATTATGGTCACTTTCCAAAGCACTAATATTAAGGAGCTTCTTTTAAGCCCAGAAGGGAAAACGGAATTCTCTTTGACTGACAAACACTGGCATTTCTGGTTTTTTTCTTAAAAAACATATTTTAATAATTACTCTTGCTTGTGAAATATCTTACTGAATAGCTTGATTCTCATAGCAAAACCACCCCAACTCCTTCTTCTATGTAACAGATCATTAATGACACCCCACAAAACAAATACTTTGGCATTTTCTTTAGTACTTTGTTTTAATTTTGTTAGGCGGGTCCAGAGTGTTCGCAGTGTGAAGAGGAGTGCACCAAGCCCCGGCCAGCTGGCTGTCCTCACCGATGTGTTTTGCCCTGTCATCCTGGGGACTGCCCATCATGTCTCCAGATGCTTAAAATAAAGTGTCACTGCAAACTATCAGTACTGTACATTGAATGCTTGTAAGTGTCAGAACACAAACCAGCTTTTCGTTTCAATGCTATTAACTGGAAATAATTTGAAGTGACTGGGGATGGGAGCTACTCTTATAGCAAGTTATAAAACTTTTCTTGATTATAATTTCTAAGATAATGTTTTTTTCTATTTAAATTTTGCAAGTATTTTATTTGCTTTTACTGCTGAAATTGCTATAAATGCATGGATCTCATGAACAGAAATTGATTTTATAATACAGATAATCCTTTAAATTATGCAAATATAATGTAATCTACATAAAATTTGTTCTATATGTGCTTATTTTAAAGTATGTAAAGAAGAATTTTATACAAGTATTAGAATGAATATAGTTAGTCTAAAAGGTCTTTGTCTTTGCAGTTAATGTCTTTCAATTTCTAGCTTTAATTGAAAAACTGGTTAGTCTTTCAATTTATACACTTTTTAAATCATTTGTGTGTGTGGATAGATTTTAAGCTAGACTTCATGAAATATAAGTTAAAACTTGAGAATTCTGCTGAAAATATTCATCATATGCAAGTATTTTTTTCTTAATTTTCTTTAAAGTACCTCAAGTCCTCTAAATTTTTGTGGGTTTGTCTGTAAAACAGGGCAGTTTATATTAGTCACTCAGGATGTGGACAAATGAGTCTGCTTTTATTTACAGTGAAATATACTGAATTATATACACCCCTAATTGCATTGACTTGTGTTGTTTTTAAATTGTTTGGGTTTTTTCTAACACAAATACATCTTTCCTTTTACAGAAAACTAACATTTGCTGATGTAAAAGAAAAGGAGCTTCTTATTTCCTGCAGAAATCAGTGTCCAAAAGAGGTAAGACATATTAACAAAGAAATACTTCAGTTGATGGGTATGTGACATTTTGTGAATATAGGCCAAGCAAACTAGAGAAGCTTAGTCTAAGTGAATATGTTAAATAATAGATGTGAAGGTGGTTAGTGGACTGTACTTCAAGGACAGTTATTAATATATTGCTGTCAACTAGGAGGAGTTTATTAAAGGGACAGGGGTTTGTCTCAAGGCACGAATGGCTTGGATGCTTAAACACACAGATGAGCTTGAATGTGGAAGAGGATGTCCTCTTACATGGTTAAAAACTAGTCATCAATCTATGTCTCATAAATGATAAGATGCTGTTTGATTAGGAAAAATGGTAAGAATTGTGCTTGCTATTCTCATGTAAGTGCAGGTTTAGAATCCCTATCTGTGCAATTTGGAGGCTAAGGGATTTTATACTTAATAAATGAGATGAGATAATAATGCCCTGGTGAATTAGTGTAATATATGTTAAGTAGTGTAAAATGGAAGACAAGCCAGTTAGTCTGTCTGCTGTATCTGGGTGCATCTAAAGGTTTGCTGTGAAGAAGAGAAGAATAATATCCTTACTACATGATACCTAGACTATGAGCCAGTAGCATCAGTAAAGAAAATTCCTGTTCAATACTATGTTTAAATAATAGACTTTGTGGAGCAGGGCAGGAGAAGCTACCAAATTTTCATCAGAAGCAGCTTAGAAATGTTTCAGGATGTCTCTTGCAGCAGTGTCACCCACAACTGGATGTGAGGGATGGGCCAAAGGACTTTGTCCTTGCCCCTCTCAGTGCTGCAGTTGTGTGGTGCTTGTGTGCTTTCAGAAATCACTGCGTTACTTACTGTTATGTTTGTTCCTTAGTTGCCATTAATTGTGCTGAGAGTGACAGCTCTTTCTTTACTCCATTTCCTGGAGGGTTAGAAAACATGTAAAGTGGAAAAGCAGGAATTTCATTATCATCCAGTGTCAGAAACTTCAAATTTGAGTCCTTGTCTTTATTAGAAAACTTTTTTATTATTATTTTGATTAAATACAAAAATTTACAAGATTTCTCCTGCTTTCCCAGCAGTGTCTGATGCTCTGCTTTTCAGACAAGATTGGGTTAACCCCAACAGGAAGGCTGTGCTCTGTACATACTTGTGTTTTCTGCTTTTTGCCCTTGTAGATGCCTATCTGATGGATTTTTTTTTTGTACATGAATGTTCCTGTCACAATTTTCTCATCTGGATGTCTGAAAGCTCACTTCCTGGTGGGGGAACACTTTGAGATATTACTTAATTGTCCATTTATCTCTTAATTTTGTCCTTTCATGTCCTTCTTTGTTACTTTGAGTTTATTTGCTCCACGACTTCCTTCTCTGTATTTTCACGAGTGCTTGCAGTCTCTTATCATGAACTATATGTTCTGTACTTCAGCTCCTCTTGAAAGAGTCTTTTGTTTCCTGTAGCTCATCTCTGGTTAATATAACTGTTGTGATCTTTCTGAACGTATTCCCCAGACTTAGTCTGGGATTTAAAATCCACCTAGCAGTGGTCCCAAACTTCAGCTTGCAGTTCAGAATTGCCCTGTTCCACAGATGATGTCTTTTTTACTTAGTTTGGTGGGATGTGAAATAAGGAGTACAGCAACAGAATTTACATTTGTTTTATGAAGCAGCTCTAAAATTCTTACTCCTATAAATGCTTTGGAAAATAAGGGTTTTTTCTGGCTTCTGCTATCCAGAGCATTGTTTTACTGTAATTGATGATGGAAAAATGCATGTTCTTCCTTTTCTGTGATGCTAGCTCTAGCTCTTACAGTCTTTCATGAAATATAGAAATTAGCTATTAGTACCTTCTTGCTTCAGGTAGTTCATATCTTTGTGTTACAATTCTTCCTACTTTCTTCAGATCCTACTTTGATAACTACATGGGTACTGTTTGGGGTTTTTACTATTTTTTGTCTAAAAAATCTGCTCCATTTCTCTTAATACCAAACAGTTCTAGGGATGTTTTGTCTGTTTCTGTTTTTTAAACAAAATATATCTCCTCAGCTTTGAGAAAATGAGATACCTGCATCATAATACAAATTATACTGATAATTGTCTTTTAAAGGAATCATTGATAAACACAATTTGAAGGGGCAGCCTTAACAGACACCACCCTGCCATTCCCATCACCACCTCTCCCCAGCAAACACAGGCCAAGCCCATTTTGTTGTTTTTAAGTCTTTGTCTTGTGAGACAAGAACTTAGAAACAACTTGACCAGAGATAAGATGTATATGACTACTGAATTTGGAGCATTTACAGATTGCAGATCTAAAATGTCTGCCCAAAATTAATTTGGGAATGTTTTTGTGTGTAGTTCTGGAGCCTCAAGTAAATTTCAAATTAGTGTTTCTTGAGAATTTTGTTATTCCATGTCAGGAGCTGACATCGAGTCATTTGCAGAGCTCAGTGAAGTTGATTTTTCCTATAAATCAGTGTACACTATCACTTCTAGCTTACCATAGTGCAACTTAGGTTCAACAGAATGCAGTATTTTACTGCAGTTATCATTTTGAGATGTTTTTGGTTAATGGAAATTGCAGTAGACAATATTAGTAGATAGTGGTAGGACAGCTACTACATTTGTTCTACAGTTGCCGTGGTACATTTGGAGATAAAGAAAAACAATTATATTGTCTGGTCCTTTGCAAAAATGCTACAGAAACTTGAAAAAATTGAGAAGTTCCATGCTTTTCTTTTGGCTATAGCAGTATAAAACTAAAAAAGTAACTTTCAGCATTGCATACAGCTGACATTTCCTTTCTGCTTTAGGGAGAAGCAGTGTCTTCAATACTGCAACAACTGTTATAAATGAGATATTTTAATTAAAAAGTTAATTCTTTTGTTTGGTAGTAATAACAAGATATCCTGTTAAAGGAAATTTAACTTTATTTTTTTCTCAATCAGGGTGATTAAATTCTTATGCTTGCAGATGTTTTGAGACAATTCTAACATAGAAATTTTAAGTCGATCAGTTTTCATTGTCTGTGTTTTCCTGTTAGTATTTGTGAATCTGTATTTAATACTTTATTCCATGTAGTTAGTATTTTTTGACAAAATAGCCATACTTTGTAGTTTTACTGTGCACTCTGCTTTTGTCTTGATGTGAAATACATGACTCCATTATGATAAATTTTTTGTGTTTTTTTAATGCATTGAACTAATTAAGCATTCTGGAAATAAAATTTAATTCTGCAAACACACACTGCAAATGTATGTGGATTGTAAAAATTTAGTTTTGTCTTTGGAAGTGATAAAATTCTATTTTGTACTTAACTTTTGGAATCAGTGCTCAAAAGTGCTATTTTCTTTAGGACCAGGCTATTTTCTGTATTATCAGATGTGTAGTAACAGGTTGTGTTTACTGCCTTCTGTTGGAGTTCACTTAAACCTCCGTAAGTGTTGACAGAGTTTATCATCATTGGGTATAATGTTAAGACTTAAATGCACTGCCTATGGAAAAAATATTTGTAGGACATTTTTGGGTTTTTTTTTTTTTGTTTTTTGTTTTTTGGTTTTTTTTCAGAGCTTTGGATTAAATCCCTTCTTTTAATGGCCTTGCCATATCAAACATAAAGCCTGTCCAATTTGGGCTTTAGTCCAGAAGCTATTGACAAGAGATTTTGTACAGTGCCCCCCCCCAAAGGGGGCACACACTTTGAGCACCAAGTAGTTCAGCACTGACACTTAAAAACAAGCAAAAAAAAATCCTTTCCCATTACATTTTTTATCCAGCAGAAGCAGCAGAATGATTGCTTTTGTTTTCTGCAGTCATGGGGAAATGTTGTTTTGCCATTCATTTCACAGCTTCTCTTCATATTTTTTAGTGTTGTTTTTACAGTGGAGGGAGTAAGAAGAAAGTTTCCCACACAGAGATATAGGACAAGAAAAAAGCTGGCAGGGAAACTTAAGCATGTGCATTTGCTTTTCAGTATTGGATTAAACATACTCCTGTGCTATAAATATTTTGGTCTAATGGTGTCTAAGAATTTTATTGCAGAAGCACTTAGAGGATGAGATGAGGGTTACTGTCTTGACTTTGCAGCTCTGACATGTCAGTTAGGATATGACTGTTTGGGCTTTGACACTATTACTGAATATGTGCTTAATTATTGTGAAAGAGTAAGCTGGAAGTAATGGTTCTAGCCATGGCTCGTTCTAGCATGAGGTGACTTGCAGGTGAGACTAGATGGAGTTACTGTGTCTGATGCTCTTGTGTAGGGAGCCAGGAGACAGTGTTCATGCAGCAGCAAATTGATTTTGCAGAGACTGTGGTCAGTTGTGAGGACACTCAGCCGTTAGATTCCATGTTCTGAGTTGTCGTCTCGCCTTGGTAGCATACAAGACTTAAACAAGGTTCTCCTCTCATATTTTTCAAATGAGGCAAAATAATATTTTGATTTAAGGGAAAAATATTTGCTGATGATCAGTTGTGCCTGAAAAAAACCTAGATTCCTTCTTTGATAAGGTGACCGATTTATATATTTTTCCCTCCAGATAAAATGAATAGGTGAGATCTGCTGCATACAGCTTCAGCTGAGTCAATGCTACTTAGTGAATATCTAGTTCAGATACAGGAGAGAGTTAATACCAGCATGAAGGTGGCTAAAAGAAACAACTGTGATTATCTTTTGAAAAAACCACCCAACTTCCTCCCCCAAAACAACATCAAAACTAAAGAAAAAGATGGAGCAAGAGATACTAACAATAAGGAAGATTTTTCAAGGACTGAACTGACACTTCGCATTGTTTTCAGTAATGACCTTGGCAGTAAAAACATTGTAATTTTCTGATGAAAAGTTGTGGGGTGTTGTCAGTGTATGAGAATTGAGGAAGTGCATCTGTAGAACACATGTATTGGGGTCATGTTATTAAATACAGAAAAACACCCCAAAACAATAAGACCATGCATATGAAGCTTATAATAAGCTCCCAGGAAACAGCAGATATTCTTATTTTCACAGCATGATTAGCTGGAGGGAAATGCAATGAGAGCTGAAGATGTTTTGGGGAACATGCTCTACTAAGAATGAGGTGCAATTAAGGCATTGTACAAATGCCTTCTTGCTGAGATGTCACTTGAAATATTACATGCAGTTCTGGCTGTGTATTCAAGAAACATTGATTGAGCAAAGTTGAAATTCAATTAAGGCAATACTATGATAATAAAGAGCCTTTTAAGAAAAGACAGAAGTGCTTCAATATGAGGATAAGAACTGCAGCTTAGACTAGCTAGAACAAACCTAGGAAACTCAAAAAAAATAAGCTCTTACATCTTGTAGTCATCTCCTTAGTGAGATAGTAGAATAGGCTCAGAGTGGGGGACTGTTTCCATGGTAAGTGTTCATCCAGTCCTGGAAGGATATATGAGGTACCTGCCTGGAGGAGGACTGGATTTCAGGACAGAACATGGTGACTTAAAGGTTCCTTCTAGTCCTCTTTAAAATGTGCTGAAACAATAACTAAGAAACTGAACCAAAAGCACAAAGTATCTATAATGGCTTGTGATTGTCATGGACATGAAGACGTGTGTATGTGTTCCATAATTTTAGTCTGAAAGATTCATGTTCTGTTTAGGTGTGTGTTTCATGATACTGGCTCAGATGTTGTGCCCATTCCAATGGACTTCTGAGAACCCAGATTTACTAATCAAAGTTGTACCCACCTGGGTTTGATACTTACTGTTTTCATTCTTGTGGATGAAGTGATGTAGTATGTATACATTTTGATTTTTTTAATAAATGGAAAAAACAGATCTTAAAATTGTATGTCTTGGGGCATTTTCCAATTTGTGTTAATCCCTTGATGACAGTGAAGAGATGAAATTTCACTTTTGATAAAGAACATTGTCTAATGCTATTTTAAGTAGTTGGGGGCTTTAAAGCTCTCTATAAGTAAGTTGCTTAGACGTCTTCTGTGAGATTCTATCTTTGGTTATTAACAGTATTAGGTTATGTAATTGAAAATGAAAAATGGTTACTGTGAAGATTTCTTATGAGCAAGGGATATTTTTAGTCAAGTTCTTAATAATGAAAAAAATCTGTTTACTTTCCTGACATATTTTATCTAATGCAATGCTGGGAGCACTGCTACATTCTTATCAATCAGCATACTTAAATTAGTAACTCAATTCTTACACAGTAAATGAACGATAATATTTTCTTTGTAAGTTAAAAATTGCTCTGGCAGTAAAAAAAGACTTTATCTTTCAGATGGCAGAAATAAGATAATCTGCCAAATGCATAAATTTAGGATTTTGTGAAATTATTTTTGCCATGATAAGAATTTTGGTGACCTTTATTTGACTTTTGCATAGTTCAGATAATGCTTGAATAGAAGATTTCTTTTGCGGTATTTTTGCTTCTGATTTTTTTCTCTTCCTTTATTATTCTGTCTAATCTACAAGTAGCTACATAATTTCAGTTTTCAGGGGTTTTTTACCTTATCCATTTGTATTCCCCCAGCATAGAGATGGCTAGGGTGATTGTTGTATACATTACTGTGGAAATGACTGTGCTTGAAATCTGTGAAAGGAGAAATTGTCTTCCAATGAAGCTGTGCCAATAAAAGAGAAATCATCCTACAGGAACTGAAATCCAGTATATAATAAGCAAACATTTCCCCCCACAAAAAAATGAAAAGAAAAATCAATTATTTCACAAGTTAAAAGACTGATTACCTGAATGAGTTTTCTGTTAAAATTCTGTGTCTGAAATAAAACCAATTCCATAGGTTCTTGGTAATTTTACAATGCTTTATTGATGAGGGAGTTTAATTTGTGTTTTGTTCCTTACAGCTGCCCTGTGGTCACCGGTGTAAAGAGATTTGCCATTCAGGTAGCTGTCCTCTTAACTGCAGCCAGAAGGTCAAACTCCGATGTCTCTGTAAGAGACTGAAAAAGGTAAATTTACAAGATGCAGTTTTTGAAGGATGTGTATTCCTTACATGTTCCTGAGCTTGTATGGATGCTGCAGATTGGAATAGGGCCTGTTGCTATAGTAGGGCTGTTACAATTCACATCACTGAAGATCTGGGCAGATTCACTGAAGATATCTGCAGATTCACTGGAGAATATAAAATCTTGTTAGTTCTAAAATATGTTAGCTGCCTGACTTACAATAGCTTTAACTTCATTCACACTTAAATTTTTGTGAGAAAAATACTCAGATGACCTGGAGTGATTTGAGAATAAAAATGACATTTTTATGACATTATTGGGAAAATGTACAGCAGTTGGAATTAGCACAGATGTTGTGAAACCTGAACTACTATAATTAATCAAGGTTCCCTGCAAACCTAAAAACAAGTATGGGCGTCCGCATCCTTAGCTTCTAACACAGATAAGGACAAAGTAATATAGCAGGTTTACTATAGCTATACACTGTTATGAGGGGAACAACAGAAATTTATATGAAGTTTTGACAAATGATAATGTCTTAATGAAAGAACACCATAATCTGTCATGTTCAAATTACCTTTCTGGACCCAAATTAACTTCTGAACCATCCAGCAGTTCCCCAGAGTCCTCAGCTTCTCCAAAAAATGTCTTGTGCATCCAAGAAGTCTTGCAGGTTGGATGCTCAGCAAGAGAAAAGATGACATATATAGAATAAGTGCTTAAAATTGAGCACCCTCTGCTTACAGATAACCACTTTGTTGTTTGTTTGTTTTTTTTAAATTTCTTCAGTACTAGGAAAAGGGGAGAAAGTATGAATGAGAATTACTTAATTGCCCCCCCCATGACCAGACTATGTCCTGTAATCTAAGCCAGTTAAGATAATATATATGAAATTACTGACACTCTAAATGCAAAGGTTCAGAAGGTTATCTTACTTGTCTAAGGCAAACAGATGAGTAAAGAGGAGAAAAATTAAACTGGACTGTATATTTATTCTTCCTTTCAGCTTAGCTTATTAGAAAGAAGAAAAAAAAAGGACAATTTAATACATAATTACAGGTTGAAATAACATTCAGTCATTAACTTTATATGTAAAACCAATATTTTATTAAATAAGAAAGTTTTATTATTTTCATAAAGAAGTTGAGAATTAAAATCTTATAAAGGGAAAAGATTATAAAAGACAAATTCTGCTTAACAGGAAGTGCAGTGCAGCAAGATACAAGAAGGCCAAGTTTCACTGGAATGTGATGCGTTATGCAAGGAAATGAAGAGGAAAGCATATGAGGTAATGTAACCATTGGAGCTATAATTCCTTCTCAGAGCTTCAAGAAAAGTAGAAAAAAGAACACATTATTTTTCAAGGCAGTACCTGCAGAAATGCAACATAAGTGGATGGGCTGTTGAATAGTAGCTATTTTTTCAGTTTTGAATTTATGAATGGTGTTAATTGACTCAAATACTATTTTTAAACAGTATTATTCTTTTTTTTTCTTTGAATTGATTGGAACTGATTCTTTCCTCTTTCACTGAGAACAAGTGATGATCAGTGATAATAAAATAGTCATTATTAGTGCTGTAAGACTAGAGTCAGACTGCTTTACAGAGCATTGTAAGATCTCTTTCCAATCAAGGTTTTGCAGTTATCAGTTGCTTAGCTTGTCCAGTGTGGAGTATAATCTGCCATGTGGTATTAGTTATCCTATACTGGAAGAATTGAGACTTTCTGGTAACTGCAGAATACTACCTAGACTGCTGTTAATGTGACTGCTCCCGAGCTCAGCTCTTTTATGAAGTAAAGAATTTGCTGTGTGCTGTCACACAGAGAGACAGGATATGATCCTTGCTGTTACAAACCTTTAATAAAAACATACACAGAAAGAATTGATGCAAAGTTGCTTGGGTTTTATCAGGTAAGTGTTAGATGTTATAAATGTACAAGCCAAGAACTCAATGGGTAAGGCCAACAAGTCAGCTTCTGCTCAGATTTTCAAGTTCTAACAAGTACCACACTGACCAAATCCTGCAACTTTGCAAGCAGGTTGAATGCTAAAGCTCTTGGGATATGCCTTTAGGGAATCCCAACCATAACAAATAGTTCCAGGAAGAATGTGAAGATGATAAGTTCATAGTGTATGGAGTCCCTCCCTAAAGCCAGGTGAGCTGACAGTGTGGGGTTTAGGTATATATGGGAAATATATGTCTAATTGTGTCAGGAACTTACGTTTTAAAAAAGGAACTCACTTGCCGCGGCAGAATGTCCAAATATGGACAACACCGGACAAACTAGACTAGTGAAGAGCTTTTGTTGTTTTTTGCACATCAGCTTCAAGACATTGTTAGATAATGGAGACAGGATGTTAACAGCTCGCTGATCTACAGGGAATGTCAGGGAAGGTGGGGTAATACAGAATAGTATAAAGCTATCTCAGCTTAGATTTCAGCCAATTATACATAGAACAACACATATTGACAAGCATTCTATCTAATCTTATAAAACACACGTAATGGTAGTTAAAACAAAGACTGGTTCATAAGAGACAAAGAACAGAGCTCTATTCATGCTAACCTTCTAAAGATATACATTAAATAACTTTGTTGCCATCTTTAAGCCAATTCTACAGAGGCCTATTTTTATTTGTCACGTATGCTCTACTGCTTGGGAAACTTTTCTGCTGTATTTGCAATGCTAACAGAACTTCAATCTGAGGCCTATATTTTTTTAACTATTTCTTAAAAACCCTCTAACTTTATGGATTCCAACAGACAGTAAGAGTGCATGAGCTGAGACCCAGCAGCCTGTCTCAGAGTGCTGCAGTGTCAGTGCTGTCTGCCTGGAGCAGATGCTACTGCCAATGTCTTGCCCTGATGTGATCCACAGGGAGAAATGGTCTAAGGCAGTGAGCAAATGGCCACAAGTCTCTGTTGTAAGCAATGCCACAGACATACTGGATGGCACAACCTAGCTGTGTCTACCTTCTTCTCAGAAGAATGGGTATTTACTTGTTTTGGGATTTTTATATAAAGTGATTAAGTTTTATTTAAGTTCTTTCTAGGCACCTTTTTGTAACCTGTGTTGATTTATTATTGAATGGCATACTACAATAGCCTACTAATATAGGCACTTTAATCAAGTTGGCTTATTTATGTCTATTACTATTTAATGTGTCCAGACTGGAAAAAAACTTGTTGAAAACTGCAGACATTTACAAAGATAAATTAGTTTGCACATTTGCAAGACACCCATTAATTTCTAAAACCGAAGTGCATTAATTCTTAATGAAACTTTTCATGTTTGGCACCTATTGAGTAAGCATTTCTTACTCATTAGATTCCTAGGAATTGAATGTGTCTTTGACTGTACATTTCATTAAAGAAATAGTCCTAGAAATGTTTTCCCATGCTGTGATTATAATAGTTAAGGTTCCCTTTATCTGTGTACATTATACCTGTGCATCTTATACAAACATGACCACACCAGAGTAAAAAGAAGCTTTTCTGTTGCTCTTTTCCAGATTTGAAGGTCACTTTTTCTTTTGTAGCTGAAGTTTTGCCATTAGATGGCAGTGATAAACGAGGGGGCTCATTGTGTAGTTTTTTGCACACCAGATTTTCAGATTTCAGATGTGCATGGCTGAAAAGGTCCTTTACACACATTTCTAAAGAGACTCTGCCATTGTACCTAAATTAATGAAATTCTCAGTAGTGCTTTTATTTGATACAAGGTTTAGTAATTTAAAAATTAGTCAGAAAACCTGCAAATAGGACAGTGCTTTTGGCCCTGCCCCCAGTCCCTGCTGTTTGATCTACAGCATGCTAAAGCATGAGCTAGTGTGCTTTCTCCTTAGTCATCCAATGCTCTTGAATTGGAAATTATTTGTAATTAATTCTACCTGTGCAAACAGTATTCAGTAAACTGTTTTCCTTGTTAGTATGCAAATCATCCAGCTACTAGGATCAAGATTTTTTCATTTCAACTTATTAATAGATTTTTACATCTAAATTTTCTAAGGGAGTGATTCAGTGACTGCAATGCTAAAAGCCTAAAAAAGGTATAAAAAAGGGAGATATATAAACTTCTTCCATATACCGTTCCTGTGGGAATGGTATATGGAAGAGGATGAGATGGTGTCTTTCTAATGGTCTTTGTTGGATTTATCTCCTATTCACATGTCTGGTTGTTTTTCAGTTGACATAAAATTCTGGCATCTACAAATGTCCTGTAGTACTGAAATTCTAGATTTAGCCAAATACTCTGTGGGAGTAGAATACTTTCCTCTATTGTGAGCCAACCTCCTGGTAAATTCATTTTATGCCTTTGCATTATGAAAAATAATTATTGATGTTTTATCCCTGTTTGGCATCTGTGTACTCTCCAGGATTTGGTGTCCTGTTAGTCACTTGATGAATCCTAGCTATGCATCTCTTCAGATGGGAGCCACTCCATCCTGTTGTCTTTTGTATACATTCAGGTTTCACATTTATTTATTATTCTAGGACCAAAATGGAATCCAGGTGCTAAGATTCAAGTATGTGACATCTTTATGTATTGACAATGTTTTCTGCACCATTTTCTTCTTAATACTTTCTAGCATTTAATTTGCTTCCTTGAACTCTGTAAAATATTTCTACAGAGTTATCAATAGTATCTTGCATGACTACTTTTCATGGCTTTTGGATGGTGGAGCTCACATGACGGAAAGTTTGCAGGCTTTTGCTGAGAACCATTCTATAGGAGTAATTATGACTTCTTAAGAAAATAGGTTTAGCTGCTGTTTACAACAATTTTTTATAACTTTGTGTGTCTGGACAGATAAAAGAAGCAGAAACGAAAGCTGCTCTTGAAGAGGAGAAGCGAAGACAACAGGTATTAGGCTTTCTTTTTCCTCATCCACATCATAACCACCTTGTTCTTGTTAGTAAATAATGTAATTTACATGCTATTAAAGATTTATAGTTTTTAATGTGATATGCACAGTCATTCCTGTCAGCTGTTACCATACTCTGTGTGCTGTAAATTATTTACAATGGTTGAGGCCACATTTCTGCAAGCAATTTTCATAATTTCGTGCAAAATGGTAACTACAAGGTAATTTATTTTTAAACTAGTAAGGATGCTTTACTTTAATCAAACACTTTATACAGCATAGACATCACAGAATACTGAATAGCCTCTGCAAGATTTAAATATTGGGTGAAGCTGCTCTTCCCCCTCCTATCATGAAAGAACAAGGACAGCTAGAAGAGTCTTTGTCCTTCAAGGTCTCTGGGGTTGTGGGGGGAACATGTATTTTCTGTAATTGCTGTTGGTGGTGAGGGTATGTGGTTGGCATTGTAATCCACAAAGCTGCTGTGCCAGCTGCCTGGAGGTGCTGGTCACATTCAGGCAAACACTCTAAGCTTAGCTGGTGATGGCTAGGACAGGTTTGCCATCTGGAGTCTGCACGCCTTCCAGCCACTTTATGTGTGCCTGTGCCTGAGTGAGCGTTTGACACCAAATCATATTCCATGTCTGGTGTGTGCTTTCTGACTCCATTTACTCAGTTATCACAGCATCTGTGTATTTGGTTTACACTTGTGTTTTCACCTGCATGTCACACTCTGTTTTTATCAGGGATCAGTGGCTTGCTCCCTTCTTGAAAGGGGGGCAAGGGAGGCTTACAGAGCTGATGTACTTGTGCCATTTCCCCAGTCTCATTAGGATAGACAGCCTCTCTGTGGGTCATAACTTCTGTTATACACACTTTTTAAGTTCTCTAAGTAATTTATGAAAATGTTACATCTAAATTGCTCTGGCAAGGCATGTTTTTGCTTATCAGAGGAGAACCTTATCTGCTCATCCTGCAAGAAAAACATGGTTATGCATCTGTCCCGAGGACCAGGCACTGTTCTGTGATCATCCTGCAATGTTTGTTGCAACATTCATATCTCAGCTGGCTATAGAATTGAGCACATATTTCCTCATATAACTCCTAGACAGTTCTAATTCTTATTCTCTAAGCTGACCCCGGAAATGTTACTTCTGGCATATAGCTCAGGAAGTGTGACTTACATACAGATGTCTGAAACAAATTGGCAGAGGAAATGTTGGTTCTGCAAGCTAAGTACTGATGTATGCTAATGGCCATTTAAACATGTAAAGAACACGTTTGCAGTCCTAGAGCTAGAAAGCCAAATTTGCTGATGTTTGTCTTGCACTGAGTGTTTGCATGCATTCCAGATGCCATCTCACCCAAATACTAATGATTTCTGCTCAAAATCACTTGATTTATAGTCCCTCTAGTAAAGTCTCAGTAAGGAGGCTCCTCTGAAACAGCAGCAGATTCACTCCACCAACACAGCGTGCTGGATTTTGGCTGGGTTCTTCAGCAGTGATTGTTTCTCTCTGCAGTCACACCACCATTGCTTTCTACTTGTACATTCTTTGAAGTCTCACAGTTTCAGCTCCACTGTAGTAACTTTAGGCAATATATGGCAACTGTTCCTGCATATGTGTTTTGTGATGGATGCAACTTCAGGGATGGAAAACTTCACCTATACATAATGAACGCTATTAGAAGGTTAATTTAGTTATTTAGTGCATTAGGAAGCAGTAGGACAGAAACAGTAAAAAAAATAAAAGACAAAACAAATTGTTAAAAAAAAGAGACAGCTGTAACTAATAAATAGGCTCTAGAACTGCATGCAAGTACTAACCTCAACTACTGCAGCCTTTTTATGTAACATTGGTTCCCATCCAGTTAGAACTCATTATCTGCCATCTGTTGATGGAAATAGGAGGACATCACTATCGTAGGGTGTTGGGTCACATTAAAAGTATATTTTTGAGTGTACTCCCTTCTGACAAAAGTATGCATCTTGTACCACCTTCCTCAATGTCATTAGCACATTTTTGTAGAGACTGTTCATCTGTTAGTCACAGTTTCTTAAAACTATTTTGATTAATACTTCATTAAATGTTTTATATACAAATTAGTTAGTGCTCTAGTAAGTCTGTGCATTTATATTTTGGTATTTGCTATATTTGGTAGCAACTTTTGCTAATACCATTTACAGATGGAATCACTTGTTTCTTAGTGGAAGAGATGGCTTGGCTAGCCTTCTTGTTGTGGCCTTAGCAGCCAAACTTTCCCTCTGCTTCTAATTCAGAGGCATGCTGTGAGGCCAGGGTTTTCACAACTGCTAGAGGTGGAAAAAAGATCAGCACTTTGATTATTTAACAACTCAGACCAAGCTCTGTCTGTTCCTCTCCATTGTAAAAGGTTTAGTTAAATTTTCAAGCTAACTGTTTAGAGTTTCAATACTGGAAGTTAGGGTCTTGAACCTGAAGGGTAATTTACTGACTTGTAGGAAAGATTTATTTTCCTTTTTTTTATGTCCAAAGAAAAATTTTAACAGATCCTTAGAAGTTAAATAGTCAAGTGTTCCCCTCCCTATTAATAAAAATAGATCCTCACTTTCAGTAAATACACTTTGTCACTGTTACTTGCATTCATTTAGCTACATTTTCCCATGGGAATGCTACTCCCTTCAGTGCAGAAAGAATATAGTGAACAACACCTGAAAGAACAAAATCCAGGGCCTGAGCAACACTGAACTAGATGTTTTGAGTATACAGTTCAAATAAACACATGCCATTTTACTTTTAGTGTGCTTATATACAAAGAAGTTAGGTTCTTATCTAAATAAAAACCCTAGGCTTGTTTAGCTTGAAAAGTTAAGCTTGTTAAAAGACTGTGCACAACCATTGCTTCAGAGGTCATTAAGGTGGCACTTCAGGAATATGACAGTTACACAAAATCTGTAGGTGGCTTTTCAAGAGTAGTGATGGCTTCTCTCTCATATTCTGTGCTTACAAATCTTTTTTCATTCTGTGTTTTTGGTTTTGTAAATTATATATTCATTTTTAGCCAGGTTTTTGTAGAGTTCACTAGGAAAGCAATTCAATATCTATTACATAATTTTGCTGGAGCCCTATATTTTAATTGAACTATTGTAATTCCTAGAGCTTTCTGCTTTTAAAATGTACTGATCACAAGTGTATAATAACTATAGAAGTCCCAAATTTTACTTGAGTGTCTGTCACTCAAGTAAATGAAATACTGTCATGAAATACTGCCATGTTATCTTTAAAACCATAAAAACTCTGCCCTTGCCTCCAGATTTTGGATTTTGAAAAACTGTTTCATTAAAATACTTTGCTTTTCTAAGGGAGGATTAGCTAGTTCAGAGTAATCTTGTTTCAAATAGGCTGTGACTTTGTCTGAACTCTTCTCCCATATCATCAGAGAAGTGCCAACAATTTCTGCCTTTATTAGGTACAAAGGAATAGACTTCAAAATAGGTCCCGTTCTCCTGCTAACAGTGGTATCTGGCTCAGGAAGGGAAGAGCTGCTTTATGAAACTGACAAATATTTGCTGTCAGTGAAGGAAGACCAGACATCAGGCAACCTTGAGTTTGAATGAAAATTTTATTTACTGAACTACTACTCTGTCCATTTCCCAAAAGAGTCTTTTTCTTGTTTTTATAATGCACCTACTGTATTGTCTTAGTCCCTCTTCCTGGCAGCACTGCAGTTGTAGTCACATAGATTTATTTCCTCTCTGGCCAGGCTTTGTCCCTGTTCACTGTCCATGATTCCTGTGCTTCAGCTCAGTCTTGTGCCTTTTGCCCAGCCAGTCCTGCCTTGCTGCGCTCTGCTACTCCCATCTCACTTCCTTTCACTCCATCTGGGTTCTCTGCTCCCTAGTGCCTTGTCCCATGTTTTCTCTGGTAGCTAACAACTTGACCAAAAATCCAAGAAATCATCAGACTTTTTCTGACTTTAGCCTGTCTCAGGTCTTCCTAGCAATTAGATACCTTCTCATTGGAGCCTCATCCTAGTCTTCACTCTTTATTCTAGGCTGCCTAGTTCCAGTTTTATTTCAGCTTTGTACACTCAAATGAGTTTTTTCTGTGTTCTCATGATGCTCTTTTAAAATAAATGTGGAGGGGAATGAGGAACAGGGATCAGAGATCCTATTGTTTATTCCAGACAGGACCCTGAAACTACCATTCTATGTTGGAAGCCTGGCATTCTTACTTTTACAATTGTTTTGCTCCATTTTTGGGCCTATAGGCATGTGCTTCCTACTGAAGGATATTATATACCTCTTACATTCACATGAGTGATTAAATGTTCAAGTTACAACACTTAACAAATAGAATATTTTTGTGTGTATCTAAGATTATAGCAATTAATCTAAGATTTAGTGACCATGCAAATATAAAGAATTGAGGGAAATAACATAGAGTTTTAGTTACTTAGGTTTTTATTAATTTAGTTTTGGCAGAATGCATCTTTATTACAAGGGAATGTCTTTGAAGATTTCAGCCTATGCCCTTATAGAAGTTGGTAAAATAGCTTAAATGCAAATGTGTTTTTTAATTGAAAAAAAAAAAGTATTTTTAACATATATCATTGAGATAACATTATTTTTAGCTTAATATTTTCAGCCTGAGTTAAAAGACTGAGCATGCAAACTTCATTTGGCTGCATTTTTGGCAATGTTTTTATAGGAAACTAAACAATGGTTTAATACTTGAAAGCAGTGTGCTTTGTACCTGTGGGATGCAGTGCCAATCTATGGGTGTAGTACACATCTGTGAGATGTGTAACTTCTCCTGGCTGACGGTTACTTCGATTGAATGTTACTTGGTAATGCCTTCGTATTTCCTTGTTTTTAATTCTGATACAAATGTCAACTACCTGTGATTCTCTTTATCTAGGCTGAACTGGAAGCTTTTGAAAACAGATTAAAAGGGCGAAGAAAGAATAAGAGAAGAAAGGATGAGGTAGAAGTTGAACAATCATCATGGCAAAAGTACAAGAACTTCATTATGCTGCCGGTGTTCGGAGTTGCTGTTGTGATGGTTGCATGGCTCATGGTCTACAATGACTGAAAACAACTCAATATTTCATATACCTCAGTTGGACTTTTGGTAGCTATTATTCCTACAACATTAGTCTGTGTGTAACAGAACTTAATAAGCATAGATTATATATTATACTCTTTGCTAAGAAAAATGTAGAGGAGAGAAGAAATGTCACCTTTTGTGTTACTACATTCACAGCACAAAACTGAAGTCAGACATCAAAAGTAATAGTAGATTCTAGTCTACACTGAAGTGTTGATAGTTTGACTGGGATTTGTTAACATCTCTTCTATTATTCTGTTATTTTTCCTTGTCTCCATTTCATAATATTAGGAATAGCTTAGTATAAAATGGTTTATTGAATATATGTTTCCTGTAAAATCAGCTTAGTTGTTTATTGAAGGTTAGTGTTCTTATGCTCATCTTTGTTGTATCACACAATAATTCTATGCTTCACACCAGTTTTAATTATGGCAACTAACAGGGAACCTTGGGTCACTTAGGCTTGCATATTCTGGGGCCTTGTTCAGAGCTTTGTTAGATAAAGGAAATGTGAACTATCTTTCAATTCAGCTGTATCACAAACAAAACAGTGCCCTCCCCCCCTTACAAACCGTGAGGTTTGCTTTTTTGTTGTTTCACCCTGCCCCTTCCCACCCTTGTTTCCTCAAAATTCAACTAACTAAAAAGTTCCTTTAGTGGACAGATGCATATGCTGAACAGGGATGTCAAGAAGTTTCAGGGTACAAGGCTGCATTCTCACTGTTGCCCCAACTGCCCGCAGCAGAAAACAATTTGAAATTAAACTTAAGAGTATCAGTGGACTATTTGTATGGATAAATGTCAGAGTTGGATATTTGCACGGTGTGCAAAAATGTAATTGGACAGTGTAACAATACAGTAATGTGAACAGTGTAACAATACAGTAATGTGATGTTCTGAAGCCACCTGATGCTTGGTAGTCACATTTAAACCTTCTAGCTAAACTTCCAAATGTTTAAATATTTTCTTACTGACACTTGTGAATACCTTGCTTTAGGTTATCAGTATTGGTGTGTAGAACTGGCAAGTTTTTATCTGGCTTCAGGATTATCAGAGAGGCTATGTAGTCTCAGCTGAGAGACTGCAAGTTCAATTCAGGAATGGGGATATCAGAAAACAGAATTTTTAAACCTCTGCTAGAAACTTTTTGCTGATACTTGAGCATTGCAGGTTACTGCAAAGTGATTACAAGATGCTGTAAAAAATGGGGTGCATGGCTAACGGGTATTAGTATTATGCCCTTGTAATTCTGGCATATAATTTAACCACAAATCCTGCAAAAGCAGTGGGACCATTTGTATGAGTTAGCAGAAAATGTTGCAGTTTGCTTGAAAGCTCTTCTGGTTGATTTTGACTTACTTGTGAAGGGACCCAGTATTAATTTGAAAGATATCCAATTGTAATTCTGATTCAGCAGCAAGAAAATAAAATAGAAAAGCTGCAAAAAGGCAGAAGCTTTTGATTACATAGATTAAGAAAACAGATAAAATTAGTTTCTTTTCAGTTTTTCACAGAAGTTTGGTGAATGAGGAGAAAGGTGGGGGAAAACTTGGCAATATTTAGCATGGATTAATGCTATTCTATAGTACTTTGGTTGTAAATTAAATTTTAGAGATGCATATTTCTTATGTGTCAGACCATTAGTATTTAAAGTTGTAGAATTAATTGAAATTACACTGTGCAAAATGGCATCTCCATTGAATTTATTTTTCTAGTATAAAAGGTAAGCATTGTTTCATATTGTTGCTTTAACTTTTTTCTATCATATTAATGCCTGAAGGATAATTTCAGATATGTTTAACAAGAGTGAGGTGATGCTATTCTATTGTGACTGCATATGTCAGTAACTCTTTTGTCACTAAGGAAAAAGGAGAGATATTTTTGTTCAGATGAAGTAAAATGTGATGGTTTATCCAAAAGTACAAAAAGATACCTTTCTGGCTGAAACACGGAAATCAAAATGAATGAGAACTTTGTGGAAACAGCTTTTATCTTGCATGACTATCACTAATTTTTTTTTATTTACTGCTAGCTTTAAAATAATTACAGTAGAAAGTTTATCCTTGCTTCTACAGCAAAGAGAAGAAACCTCTCTCTAGTGAGTTATACTAATTAACTGCACTTATTAGATGTTTGAAGAAATTCTTAGTATTCTTTCCTGCATATTTGTGGGAAATACTGGAGAGGAAGAGGCTTCTCATTGATCATCTTCATTAAAGATTGCCATGATTTTTTACTATACAAATTCATTCTCTTCATACAAAGGTATGTGTGAGTGGGCGTATTCCCTTTCTTAAAGGATTTGTATCTCTTCTGAACCTTGCATATGCAAGGCATACCTATTTTTGAAATTTTATTCAAAATAGTTCTGTATATCTTATCCAACCATTTGAGTCATTTGCACTCTGGTCTGCCTGCTGAACCAGATATTTATTTCTTGGCATAAAAAAAGTGTGGGGGTTCAAGCAATCGGCAGTTTAATAAATCATAGGTTTTTGTTTGTTTCTTTAAAATATTTTGACAGTTAATATTTTGCCTTTCTTTGGTTGGAGCTCTGTGTTGTCAACAACCTTTGAAGTAAAAGATACAGATAAAATCACCTTTTATTCAATATTAATGAAAGATGGCAATTTTAGAAAAGAAATTTTGAACTGAAGGTAGGGTTTGGTAGCAATTTATATGTAATGTGCTGTTACATAATGTAATGAGCAAATATTTTTAATGTTAACAGCTTACAAAAAAAAATGCATATTGATCAGTATACATTAAAACAAATTATGTAATCTGACCTGCTGTTGAAGGGAAATTACAGTGATAGAAGCCTGATGATGACGTAACATGAAGAATATTTAGGTATGTGTAAAATGAAAAATATTGTGGCTTTTCCTGATTCTGGATGCATTGTGATGAAAATGTATCCTTCAGTTGAGCCAAGGTTCTTACAACTGTTCAGTATGTTTGGGATTGGAAACTCCTAGGGCAAGTTTTTTCCCTGTAACAGTATCAATCCATTGCGTGTGTTAATTTAATGTAAAAACCAAGTCAGACAATAAATATATCAAAAACACCTTGAAAATTTGTTTGTTCTTAAGGACTGGTGTAGTGAAGCAGCAAACTTCCCAGGTAAGGATGACTGACACACTGCAGCCCAAGATTTAGGTATGCTTTCTGCCCCTTTCTCTGGTAGTGATAATTCTTCCTTCTCAGATGAATGCTGGAATTATGTAATTGTGTTCCTTCATGTTACTGCTCTGACAAAATTGTGAAAATGGGTTGGGGAAGTCGATGAAGGTGAAACAAATGGGAATGGACTTTGTAGATTTTTTTTGGCCTCACAGGGAGAAATATAGATGATTTATTAGACATTTGTGCTGACCTTAACTACTAGAGAAAGAAATGTTACTAAGCAGAAAGCACCAAAATTTGTTCATAAAAGCATCTATGTGTGATTGTGGCTTTAAAGCAGTGAATTCTGAGTTTGTCATCTCAGTAGTAGTTCAGGCTCCAGAATGTATCTGCCCTGTGCCAGCTTTCTCTGGGTGATGAGCTTGTGTATTGTGAGGTTAGAGCACAGAGATGCTTGGTCTGAAGTGTGTTCCAGTGCCAGGCAGTGAAAGCTTGATGTGTGTGCTTTAGGTTGGAGCATTCTTGTTTGGACACACACAAACAGGCTCACGTGTGGCCCTGTTCTCATTTTCATTTAGTTTTGATATCCCTCTTCTGCTTGGGTTGCATCCTGTTACCAGTTGTTATCTATGAGCATTTCAATTGCTCCCTTTCCTTTCTTCATGAATATATTTGTATTCCTATCTGCTCTTATTCAAGTAAATTAGTCAGTTGCTTCAGAGAATTAAAAAATTAAGAACCTGTAGTGTCTTGAATTTCCTAGGAAAAGAAATGCAAGGTAAAAATAAAGGAAAAAAATCAAATTAAGTAAAATTAATTATAAGATAATGAGATATACTTCTTTCCACAAAGATGGAAAGATGGTGAGATGTTAATTATTTGAACACTGTATTACAATGTCTACATGCCGTGCTACCAGAAAACAGTTCTGTGGTATGGATAGTGTATGAATATGACCTGTGATACATCAAACTCAGCTGTAAGGTAGGCTAAACAGCAGCTGTGTAGAAATAAGTCATGCTCTGAGGGAACTGTGGCTTCATTCAACCAAGCATTATTTATGCTAAATGTTGCTCATGCAGTGATTTCCATAAAATCACCAAAAAAAACAGAACTCAGGCTTTCTTTGTATGCTGCTGAATCTTGTTGTGAAACTCCAGTTTCAGTGGCACTCCTACTGGAGGAAATAGTTTGAGATTAGGAGTCAAGACTGGCTTGGGGTTTGGAATTCACAGTTCTCCAGCTGAAGCCATCCTCAGCCAAGGCCAAGCTGGCTTTGCAGTCTAAGTCATGTACTGCACCTCTTAGATACACATTGTCATTTACTGTTATTAGAATTTTTGACAGGGCTACCTAATCTCTCTAATGAATCACAAATTATGGTTTGATTCCTGCATTACAGCACAACATATTTGTTATTTTGCATAAATGGTCTTTATTTTCTCTCTTTCCATGCTTTTCCTATTTTTGGTGCAATTGTTTTAAAACTACCACTGTTTTCCTGCAGATGCTGGAGGTTGGTTTGGAGAGATGTTTGGTTGGTTAGGTAAAAGGTGCAGCACTGAGTTACCATGAGCAGAAGCCTCTAAGTACATTGGCACTGTAGAAGCACAGAGAACACTGTCTGCACCATAATGTTTGCACACAAGGTAACAGGGCCTAAATCGGAAGGTATGGAAATACAGGTATGGAAAAGAAACTGGAAAAAATGCTAAGCATCTTGTTTATTATTTAAATATAAACATATATAACACAATGCGTTTATATTTACAAATATAAACGCTGTGATGAGAAGTATCACCCTCACTGATTGTCAAGAGTGCCGACAGGGCTGGAAGCCATATTCATAGAGAGGTGGTGGTTCACATTTTCTTGGGAGTTTTCTGATTTACATTTAGAATGATAGCATTTCAGAAGTACTAAATCATACACAGTAAAAACTGGAAGCCTTTTTGGTTTACAGATGTCATCTCAGAACCCAGCAGTAGTCCCTGCGACTTTTGGAAGGGTCCTGAACTGTTTCTATTCTGGTAGCACACACTTCCGCCCATTTTGTACTCATTGTTTTGCCTTTTGTCCTGTTGACTTTATCGTTCTTGGATAGTATTGGTGAGCTCTGTTGTGTGCACAGACCGGGGCTTCAGTCAGACTTGACATCTTTGAATGCAAACACAGGGCAAGGGGACAAATAGATCAAATGCAGGTCTTAGCTGGTATCTCATGGGGGTAGGACATTTGCTCTGTCATTTGCAGCTTCAGGCGGCAGTTGGCTCTTAGCCTGAGAATTTTGCTTCAATAGATATGCAACAGCCAGCACATCCCTCCAGCTCCGGATCATTGGGGCCGGTCAGGACCAGGACCGGCGTCGGGACAAGGGGTAACGCCGTCGGGTCGCCGCTGTTCTCCCGCGCAGCGCTTCCTCGCAGGGGAGGAACGGGGCACGGCAGGCTTGTCGCCAGGGGGCTGGGACCGGAGCTTTCCTGCGGGGAACGAGCTGGGGAAACGTGTCTTTGGCTCCGGGAGGTTCCTCCTGCTGGAGCTCTTTCCCCTCCGCTTCTGCGGTGCCAGCGCCTCTTTCAGCTCTCTTTGGAGCGTTAGAAGCCGGGCTGCGACAGGCCAGCCGCTGTGCTACAGAGGGAAGCGTTGCAGTCCCTGCAGGCGCGAAACGCTCCGTCCCTGGGCTGAAAGGAAAGCCTTTGCCGGAGCGTAACGTAAAATAAAGCGCAGGGAAGTCC